GCAAATATTGAACTGTTGTGTGTGCTTGGTTTGTAGACCTCCACGATTTCAAGCATTTTATCTGACTGAGCGTGTGCCGTGGAGCGGTCTCCAGAAGTCTCGGAGGTTTCTGCTTTCTTTTTCTCTGGCTTGAAGGATGAGTAATCTGGGTGCCTACGGTTCACTGAAATCAACACAATCTCCTTCTTATGCTTGTCTTCTTTCACAGCAATCTGTTGCATATGTTTAAAACGATCAGAATGAGCGTATATACCCATCTATACACCAAAGTAAATCTGCTTGCAATCACTCTTAATGAAATATAGCTTACAACGCTTGATGATTATAGTTGACTACATAAATAAACCAGTCGGTATTTGCAGTGAAACATCTATGATCTATGCACACTCCTAGTCTTTAACATCGAGCAAGATAAATACCGTAAACTAAGGAGAAGTAGAAAGATAACTAACCATTCCTGCAGACGCTTTAGACTGCAGCCACTTTGAAAGCTTTTTATGGGAAGACTTCTTAATGTCAAGTGTGAGCCCAGGAGGCCTACAAGGTAATACATGATTTGCCCTGCACCACTCACAGAAAAACATGTATGAGCCAAACTTGGAAAGGAGAAAGAAAATGGGTAAAAGTTGTCTTGCTTAATATCAACAGAGTCAAGAGTAGCACAAATACAAGAACAGAGCTTCAGAGCATAATAAAACCACCCCATCATAGTATAAGTCAACAGGGATGCATTCATCAGGAGGTAAGAAACCAACCAAATATCAGAATATAGTTGGCTCTCAAAGCAAGTCAAGTATCTAAATGGCGTTCTTACCATAAAGTGCTTCCTGGGATGGGAAGGTCCTTCTCCTTCAGTGTTGTATGCAAAGCTTGCAAAAGGCACTGGTCAAGAAGGGCATCTACCTCCTCAGGGGAGAGAGTATTCTGCTTATCGGTATCCACTTCATTCGCAGAAACGTCATCTCCTAAGTTCAGCTCATTCATGCTCCCAACCACATTTTCTTCAGTATCGTTCTTAGCATCTGTATGTGAAGTTGAAGGCCCTGTATCATTCACATCAGCAGATTCATCTTCTTCATTTCCTGTGCTTGTCTGAGGACCAGCTGCTGAAATTTCTTCAAGGTACGATGGGTCCTCCATGACAACATCCTCCATAAATCCAGCATTTGGAACATAGTGCCCTTCAGCTGATTCCCTGCGAAACAACCCTTCACCATGTAACAGGCTGATAACAAAAAAAAGAAACGAAAAAATAAAACTGTTGCCAGAATCTCAATGTACCAGAGGAAGTCACGGTAATAATGAGTTATACGCAAAGCCTTCCCACGCAACCCAGCTTTAAGAGCTTCTGCACTACTCATTGTGGTAAACCCAACCTTCAAAAAACATGCATAAACCTTCATGAAACTCGAGACGCAAACTTTATGTTCATCGTTTAGCAGATATAAAGGAAACTTACAGCTATAGGTGCAAGATTTCCAGGAACTTTAACAGCCCATATTTCACCAGCTGAGAAAGAAGGAAAGCCTTCTGCAGGGATCCAAATACCTGGGAACATCAAATCTGCACCGCCTATGACATACCGTGAAACCTCTCCTCCTTTCAGCATAAAGGATGGTAACATTTCAGGAGCCTCCCAGAGAGCATAAACTGTAAAAAAACAAAAGGAAAATTAACTATTCCACACTCATATGGCACTGTTTCTTGAATCATATGAATCCATACAAAAATCTACAAACCTGTGGGGAAAATCTCATTCCCTCTTCCATCGATATCGAAAAACATGGGACATCCACCTTCAATACTATAGACGAGAACCCGATTCTGAAACTTGGAAACAGTAATCTCGACCTAGACAAAGACGATAATGCCAAATCGAGATTCAATCAGAAGAACGAAGAACATAGGCCCAGTAATCTATCGACGTTATCTCCAGACAAATAGAGGGGAGAAAAAGAAGAAAAATAAAACCTTGGGAGGAAGGATGGAGTCGAGGAGCTCATCGGTAAGGAGGATAAACCTATTTTGGACGGTGCGCCGGAGTTTCTTCCGGTCGGCGCCGGAGAGACGCTGGTGAGACTTGGCCTCCACCGCCTTCTTGAACATTCTGTTCGCCTGCGTGTCGCTTTCCCAAACCACAAAATCAGACCCTTTATTTTCCCTCGGTTTTCTTTTCTACTCTCTCCCACTATAACCGGTTTGCCGAAACGATTTAAATCAAATTAAACCACCAATCGCGACCTTGGTTTTCACTTTTCTTCCTGCTTACTACAGTTTAATTCAAATGGGTTAACAAAACCTCAAACCGGAATTTCAGGTACAGCAAAAACGATTTTCTATTGAACCGCGATCAAATGTTCGGCATTACCAAACCGGTCCAAGATGTGATGGTTATGGTAGCTGATAGAAATCAAATCTCCATTCATGGCCTTTCGATTTTCACCAAGATGTATAATGCAAATTGGTACAAGAGAATCATACGAAATCTATTGAACCGGAAGTTTGGGCACAAGTACACAACAGAGCTACCGTAATTTCCTACATAACCATAAGTTAAATCATCTATTAATTCAAAAAGACAAAATGCAAAATCGTAAACAATTAAAACAATAAATCACATGTGATATTTTAGTATAAGAGGGTGTTATTGGATGTTGTATTTGAAATGAACTAAAATAGAATTATAATCCACTGTTATTCAATCAAGATTTCAAATCCAGTGTTATTCAATATCTGATTTGTAATCTATCATTAATAGAGTTTCAAATCCAGTGTTATTCAATCAAGATTTCAAATCCAGATTTCAAGTCCAATGTTATTCAAAACTAAATGACTTCTAAAATCATTTGTTAATTGACTCATTTGAAATAAATTTCAATGGAGTTCTATGAGTAAAATATTAGAAACATAATTCATCACAAATTGCAGAATTTTTAGAATCAACTGATGTGGATTCTTAAAATAACACAAATTTTTAAATCTAATAGATTATAAAATCTATTTCAATTCATTTCAAATACAACATCCAATCACACCCCCTAAATCTTTTTTTTTCAATACATAATATGTTATTTATAGAAATTAATCATGCAAGCCAATAACATAAAATCAGTTTTCGGTTGTTCATGTTGATAATGTATTTAAATGAAACTATGTTTGTTTGATTGGTTTTGTAAATCTACATCTCTAACTGATGATTCTCATGATCCTAATTGAAAATCTATTTCAAGTATCTATTTGATATTGTGGACATAATTGAGTCGAACGCATGTTTTGTTTTTTTAGGCATATGATGAATAATACAATTCATGTTTTCTAGTTTTTGAGCATTGCTTGATTTTATGTTATTATTGTTATTTTTAGTGTTTCAACTTTGAAATCTACAAATTTAAAATGAATGTGTATCAAAATGACACTCTAATTTAATCTAAGTATATTTTTGCAAACGTAAAATATGTGGTTTTTTCGAGCAAATGGAAAATACAAAATCATTTTTAAAATATTATAAAATCTTTTAAAATATGTGGCCGGCGAGCGTGTTTACAATAGAAAAATGGACTGATGACAATAGGCAAGAACTTTATTAAGAGATGGAAGTTGGAAGAGAGAGTTTTGTTGTCATATGGAATAGAGTGTGTTGTTGCCATCTGGCTTATTCTCTTTTGTGTGGATCACTCCCAAAATTTGTTAAACTGTCATTAGTCAATAATCATAATTTTATTTTTCCGAATTTGTGTGTTCAATGCTATTACTCTCAACATAGCTAACATTCATAACCCAAAAATAATAATTGTTTGATAAAAACATCATACAAATCCTCCCATCTCCTTTTACCGAGGATCACATGTATGTTTCACCGATTCCAAGCCCAAACCGCCGAAATTTGCTATTATCTTGATGGAAAGACTCTTCATTTCGGAATGCCCAAATAGTTTTCATTTTCAGAATCAATCAACGATGTCAATCCCATGACTCTCATCTCATTTTACCGAGTTTTGTCCTTGCTCAAGGTTGAACAATTGGAGAACATTTTTTAGATTAATTTGATTAATTTCTACTGAATATATTGGAGAACATTTTTTAGATTAATTTCTAAGATGTTTTTTGTATTGTGGATTTTGTTGATGGAGTGTATTTATCAATACTATTTATTTAACCCACTCTCGTCACAATAATTAACTTTATCTATCAATCTCATTAATCAACTCTAGCAGTCAATAACAAAGATAAACAAGAGCTCAAAAAAAAGATAAACAAGATCAGGTTTGAGAAATTAAATAAAACCTATAGATCAACTCCGGCTGACGATATATCATAACACAATTGCCGACAATCAATCGAGTTTTGAAAGTAATGAATCTAATGATCTTCGTAAATCAGCGTTAAATGTTCAATTCAATGATATGCAATAAATTAAACAAGATTTAGATAAAGGATTACTTCAACTTGTCAAAAATGCCAGTGTAGATAATCAAATCGATATACCAAACCATGAATAATGTTCTTTAGAAACTCATATTCCTAAAAATGAAACTACTAGGACAAGATAAGAGAAATCACAACAAAAACAGTAGAAAAAACAGATTTATTCATGAAATAAATAGTGTAGGGTTAAAAAAACGTTTCTAATGAATACAAAAGGATGAGATCTTCTCCCAAACCAAACAAAGTATAGATAATACCAAAAAGAACTATGAAACTAAGATAATTTTTAGAGCCGTGTAATTAAGAAACCTATAATGAAACATGATTCAACAAACTGATATTCTTTCAACCGCATGGCCTTTCTATCTTCACCAAGATATATAATGCAAACTGGTACAAGAGAACCATACAAAATCTGCAAAATTCAACTGAACCGGAACTTCGGGCACAACAAAACTGATCTTCATATAAACCAGAACGTTTATTCTGTATAAAGAAGACTCAAACTAACTCTACAGTAAAAAAACTAGAAACAAAGTGAAAAAAGAGAGACCAAAACTGAGAGGCTCTTCTCATCAAAGAGACAAAACGAACAAAACGAATGTTGAGCTTATCAATAACAGAAGCCAAGCCAAGCCACCTGGCTTCTCTGCTCGACCTATCCCTTTCCCAAGAGCCACGGCTACAACCGCGACAGCCCCAAACCCAACACAGATGGTGAACACAGCCACACCTTTCTTCTCCATCCACTCCATTCTTTCCAACACTTGCTCTAACCTCTCCTTCACTTTCTCCTTCTCCTTCTCACCTTTCTCAAGCTCTCTCTCCACTCTCCTTCTCCACTCTCTCATCTCCATTGCCTCCTCCTTCATCTTCTCTTCCCTCTCCTTCATCCCCTCTACCTCAAGTCTCATTTCCACCACCTCCTTCTCTCTCTTGCTCGCCTCCACATCCATCTCCTTGAATATCTTCCCATATCTCAAACTCAGCTCCTCCAAGTAACTCTCCAGCACTGATAAGCTCAAGTCCAGTGACCTAATCTTCTGCATAAGTATCTTCAACACTGTGTCCCCTGGCATTCTGCTTCCTGGTTGATGATGTTTTATCTCTTCCACCGGATCTAGCAGCTTCTTCTTCTCAGTGGATACTTCAGCTTTCACAACCACAGTCTCTGCTAACGTCTCCACTTCCTTCTCCTTCTGTTTACTCCCGCCTTCATCGCTTTCAGAGGACTCTATCTCTTTCACTAGCTTCTTCTCTTTCTGCTCAGTCTCTCCTTCTTGAGGTCTCAATACATTTTTGTCTTGGACAGATATCAAATCCTCCAGCATCCGTTCCACAGCGTCAACTCCATAGACTTCTAGCAAACTCAACGTGCAGTAAAACTCTGAACCGTAATGGCTCAAGAAACTCAGCTTTAAATATCTCACCCATTGAGGATCTGCAAGCGTAAAGTTCTGCTCGTTCTTCATGTTCAAAGCCGTGAAGTTCCCCAAATGCACCCATGTATCAGTCGGATAAACCAAGGTCCCCAAAAGCTCGAATTCCTTCAGGTTGGAAGAGTAATGCTCGAAATTCGCAATCTTGATTGTGTTCACCAACGTCTCTTCTGAAAGCTCTATGACAACGAACTTCCCTTCGGTAGTACATGGGTTTCGAAGGTACTTGTCTTTGTCCCGGCTTATGATGCTTGTAGCTCCTTTTGCTTCTTTGTTAGAAGACAAGACCTTTGCTCCTTTTGAAGCGGCTGCGTAGTTATACTCTTTCCCACCAGGCTCCATCCTGTGAGTCACGCCACTGACTTGGCCTGACAAAGATTTGTCTCTGGAATTAGACGCTCTGCTCTTGAACTCGTCAAGGCCAAGCGGCACAGAGCGAGATAGCTGATCAAGCTTTGAAGCAGCACTGGTCTCTGTATCCTTCTCTGCACCAGTGTTGTTGTTGTTGTTGTTGTTGTTGATAATCTCACTTTGCTTCACAAACTCATTGCCTTTGCTTTCTGTAACATTTCCTGCAATTGTATTATCAACTCCTATTTCTTTGGCTGCAACTACATCAACATCCGGAGCATGATAAGCAGAAGCAGACTCTAGTGATGGTGCATCAACAGACTCAGCTGTCTCATCTGCCCTAACATCATCTGGATAACCTCTTTCCACCGAATCATCTAAAGACCTCCCTGCAAATGCGCAAGAGTAAGCTTTTAATACAGATATGATCAGGGAAACAAAAGCTATAGTAAGTATATACTTCATTCAGATGATACAAAGGCCAGTTTTTTAACGTTTCTCATCCAAATTAGGGGGTTTAATGGTTACCTTTGTCACCATCTCCATGACTGAACAAGAGAGTAGATAAGAAGAAAAGCCCCCAAATGAGAAAAACCAGAGACAGTGAAAGTTTGTAGAGGCGATTCCTTCCATTGGAAGTATTCTCAGAAACTCTTCTTCTGACCAGAAGAGCTCTCCGTGATCTTTGCATTTCACATCCAGTCAAGAATCAGATCACCAAACAATCTAAATGGATACACCTGCAAATTCAGCGATGCGTATGAGCAAATCAGATACACAAGTAAAGCTTAGTTCTGTAACTAAACAAGCCAAATAGAGAGATTTATAGATTCAAGAGCAACGACAAAACCCAAATGATTCCACAAGCTTAAATTGAGAGAGAAGAACATAAAAGAATCGAAGAAACAGAACGACCCGGAAAATAAAAATCCGAGCTTGAGGGAGAAGGTGAAAAGAGAATTATCGATTTCCAGATCCAATTCCGGATACGAAATGGAAGAAGAAGAAGACGACGACAAACACAAAATTGACCGGAAAGTAGTCGGAGTTTACCTAAAGAGAGAGAATCGGAGGAAGAAGAGCGATTCGATTCGCTCGCGGATTGAAGAAGACAAACCGAAAGGGAGACTCGGAGAGCTTCTTCGAAACAAACCCTTTTCAACGCCGCCGTCTCCGATGGGTTTCCGATCGTTTAATTCCCGGTCGACGAAATTCCGGCGATCTACCCCGTCTCTGCATCACAATCGACGAAGCGGAGCTCAATCTCTGCCACTTTTCTCACAGAATTTATAGAACCTGAATCATTTTTTAACCGTTGTGTTGTAAAAAGGAAAGGAGAAGAGTCAAAAAATGGACTTTCAAAACGAAAACCCGCGGAATCTGTAGAGTCGACAAGCACTGATCCGCGAAGACAATGGACAGAGAGAGAGAGAGATAGGTATTGGAGAAAAGACTTTAGGCACAATGTATATAAAGATGGTAACTTGGTACCGGTCCACATTTTTTTGAATCTGGCAATGAATTTAAATATTTTCTCTAAATTTAGTTACCTTACCTTCTAATCAAATTCTGTGCTTAGCTGTAAAGGTGTAAACACGATTTTTGAAAATTAAAATTTTTAAAAAATGAAATAAAATAACGTCCTTTTCTGTACGTTTTCACCTCCAGATATTTTTGGATTTTCCCATATATTCAAATATTTTGTTTAGATACTCACCCATGCATCATTGCATCATTGCATGAATCGTATTATTATTATTTATTTCCTCAAATTTTGATTTGACTGCTCGAAAGTTTTTTGGAAAGGCAGTGTGTGTGAGTTGTTCATTTGAAGAATAGGCTGTATAATTTTAGTGGTAAAAAATTGTTTTCCTTATGTACACAGATGTGAAAGCATGTATACAGTATACTATGGAATTTCCAATTTATGTTATGGGCGATTATGGGTTTAATGGACACGGATATGGTCGTACTCATAGGCACGATACCATTTATTTTATAAAATATCGAGTATTATGAAACTATATCACCTCGAGATTCACCGTTCACTTTACTTTCCTCCAACGATTACTCATTTCAAGTTAAACCATTTGTATCTCAAATCGTGGGACTCCAACTTTTTGTACTGAAAATTACCTACAAAAAGTTGATTGAATTTTAACTTTTTCTGTTTGCACTGGTAGACGAAAAGTAATCGATTGCATTGCGAAAACTCTTTCAAAATATCAACCAATTTTCTCATTATTCAAAGTGTTATTGTCGTCGCCAATTTTTATGTGGCTATTAGTCATCCGTCTTGATTACACGAATACAGTATCTTGTAGATGGGAGAGTTATTATAATCTCTATGTAATGTCGTCCTCTTCTTGTCCTTTTCATTTACTCGTGTACGTGGTTATGTAAACGTGGCCTTTATATATGTCCTTAATTAGTAGCTTAATGCTCTTGATTTATTAGAGAGGGGTCTTGTACATTTCTTGATATATTTTACCAATCTACACCAGTTGAAAGCAAAAACAAAACCATATTGATCTCAAATCCTGGTTGTTTTAGAAACAAACTTGGGAACTTTTATCATCCTTATATGTAGGTTAAATCGTATCTATGCTTGTCTTTATTATCTAAAATGTCCAAGAATGATTCAGGTAAACATTGTTTTAAGGCTTTGAAAGTTTTCGTGATAATGTTCTCAAATGGTATTTTCCCATTTTGGGATTCCCTCCCTCACGAAAATAGGAAAAAGTGGTTGTAGAATTACTTGATCCATGCGTTCCCGAGCCGACGTGAGAGTTGGTGGGCTCCAAAATTTTGAATTAAAATCCTCACTCGACAGCTCCATTCTTCCTTAGGCAATAAGGATGTGTAAGAGTAAATTCAATCATATGAAAATGATTCACATATTTATAAAAAATTTAGTTTACCGCGATGTTCATAATATTAGAATATGTCATGATGATCACTTGAAAATAGTCTAAATAGTCGTACTTTTTTTTATACTACTTTGTTATATACATTTTGTTATGATTAGTAACAAAATAAACAATTCACCCTTTACTACTGCAGTAAAAAGTTATTATCGCTGTAAACTTGTATATAAGAATCAAGAATGTCTCATATCCCTACGCTATAAAATAAAAATTCAACTAGCTAATACTTTTTGTCTTCTCAAATCTCAAATAGTAGTTCGTACTTCATGTACAGACAAAATGTTTTGTACTATAAAACTCTAAATTTATTTAAATAATCGTATTCGTTTGACCAAAATGAAAATAAATTAACCGTATTCAAAATATAAAAAAACAGGAGACTTGTGAACGGTAGAAAAGGAGAGAATGAAGGTCGGAATTATTGAGGGTCCCACTTGCTTGACTAATGACTTGAAACTACGTGGCGTTAACAGAGCCAGCTTGGATTGCTCCCTCTCCTCCGACACCTGGCGACTTCCTCTGCGTCGACCTCGATTTGGCCGACCTGCTCTTTTTTTATTTTATTTTAATTAACCAACAAACCAACCGTTTAAGTCGTTAACCAATTCCATGTAGCATACTTAGCTTAGGATTAAGAAATATTAAGACCACGACGAATCTTTCTTTTCGGGTCCATTAATATTGGGCCTTAGCCCATTAAGAGTTTACATTTAAACATTTTCACGTTCGGCTTGAGCCAACGGATCAAACTACACATCAGAGAAACTGAAAAGCTCGTGGCGGATTCAAATTCAAGCCGATTTGCCGGAGGCGAAGTACGCCAGAGGTCCGACGAAGGCGGCGTTGATGTAAGTAGCCGGTTCCGAGTGGCTGTAATCGTCTCTCTGATCCGGAAACCCATCGTTTTGATTCGGTCCTCCAACGATCGCTCCGGTGAGAATGTTCGGGTTAGGATTCTGAGTGTAGAAAGACTGGAATCCGCCGTTGCAGCCCAAGGAGTGCGAGAGAAGCGCGTGGGAAGGAAGCGACGACGCTCGGTGATGGATCCTCTTGGGGAAATTGGATCCGAATCCAACCATGTACGACATTCTGATCGGATTCTCCCCGAGTATGTAATCGACTTGCCGCTTCGCTACGCTTATCAACGCGTTGGGGACGACGATCGCTGAGCTTCCGCAGCTGAAACTGTGTCTCGTGGATTTCATGTACTTGGCGTAAGTCGTGAGCAGGAACGTTATGGATGTCACGTATTGCAGATTGCTCTGAGGTAACTTGTACATTAACCCTCCTGTAATTTGGTAGTAATCATGAAAGAGGTTATCGTTAAGAGTGAAATTTAGTTCGATTTGGGATTTAGGATCTTGAGTTTAGGTCACCTTGAGTGTATTGTGTAGAGGAAGAAGGAGAATTTGGAAGGATTTTGCACATGAAACTCTCTGCTGCTTGCTTGTATTGTTCAAAGTTGCTGTCTTTGTTAAGTAATGCTCTCTGCCAAGAGTAACAGATTTTGTTTAGTGAGTCAAATAGTGAGATTCTTGATTCCATTTTGCTTAAGCAGCGAGAGACACACCCGTGAGAGAAGAACATAAGCACCAGCATACTTATTATCCCAGCTGAAAATGTCAGGCTGGTCTCCACTTCCTAAAGATTTCATGAAGTTTTCGTAATACTGGTTCTTAGTTGCTCTCAGCAGCCACGCGGCACCCCACATGAGCTCGTCCTGTCACCATCATATACTGAAATGAGAATTCGAAGTGGTTTATAAAGTTGGCAATGATTCAATGAGAGTTTGGTCACCTTGTAACCAGAGTAGGAGCAGTAGAAAGGACAGACGGATGAAGAAAGGGAATCGCTATAAGCTCCTCTGTACTGGATTGCAAACTGCATCACATTCTTAGCTGTTGCGAGAAGCAACCTTGAGTACTTTGGATCGACTTTTCTGAAAACCATGGAAGCTGCAGCGAGAGCAGCCGCGGTTTCAGCTGCGACGTCAGAGCCAGGGTTAGAAGAGGATACAGAGTAGACTGTACGAGGTGTGTCCATGTCTTCAGGCCGCTCCCAGCATTTGTGATCAACGTTAGGATCTCCTACTCCGACGTAAAGCTTCCCCGGAGTGGCTCTAGCGCATTTCAGCAGATAGTCCGTGGCCCAACGGATGTTCACACGAGCGTTTTGCAGCTCGGAACCCATCCGTTTACCGTACTCGAGCGCGCTCCATGAGAGCATTGTTGTGGTAAACGCCATTGGGAAATTGAACTTGACATTGTCTCCTGCGTCGTAGTACCCACCGGTTAAGTCCACCTGCAATGTTATCAATGTTAGTGAAAGAAAGATATTATCTTGATTTAAGGTTGAATGGTTAAGGGTGTACATGAGCGGAGGAGCCATCGGAGAGGCCGGAGCTAGACCGCCAAGAGACTTGTTGGTCTCTAGGGAGGCGACCGGAACGCTGACCTTGGAAGAAGAGCAATGACTTGGAGAGAGCTTCTCTGTAATTTGGATTTGCATCAACATTGTTTGTGAGAAGAGATGAGAGAAGGAGAACTAAGAAGAAAGGAGAAGTCATTTTTCCAAAGACAGAGAAGTTTTAATTTACTTTATGAGTTTTGAGGTACCAATCTATGATATGAAGGTCCACATGTATATATAGTTATATATACAGAGAGATGAGAGAGAGAAATGCAGAGATAAGAGAGAGATTGATCCGGCGCTGATGGAAGCGAAAAATATGGCTTTTTGGGACAAAGTAACCTTAATTAACCTTAAATTCTTCTATCTAAATCTTTTTATTTATTTATATATTCTGTTTTCTGGTTTATCTTTACCTTAATTCATCCGACCAAATCCCTTTTTCTTTATCTGTCCATTGATAATCTTTAGTTTTTACCTTTTGTTTATCCAATCAAAGTTCTCATTTTTCATTCTCTTTTCGTCAGTTGTTATATCTATTCACGAGGCATTGGGGAATGAAGAAAGCCTCAATGGTATCCTATTTCCTAAGAAGCAAGTAGCACTATTCGTCTAAAAGCGGGCAAATGAATGAACGAAATATAAACGCACGTAACGACTTTGCGTCTGCCTAAAAAATACACTGCCAAATGCAAAAGTGGGATTATTTTATAGTAAGATTTTAGGGAGATTTTCAATGCAACGCGTTCATTAGTATGAAAATGATACACCGTGAATCCGTGATATTGTACCTTCTTCGTTATAGTTGAACATTGATTTGATTCATCACATATTTCATATATTGTATATATATTTCAGTGTTCACGTATAGTGCTTAGTAAAATTTATTATATGGTTAGTTTGAGTTTCCGTTATGCACGAGGATAATTGAATATAGGGATAATGTGTTCATATGTTGGTTTCGGGTAGAGTTAGGTAGTGTATAGTTAAATTAGGTTAGGGTTTAAGGGATTGCGAATTTAAAAAGAGAAGACAAAAGATAAGATGGATGCGTGAATGGCGCCAAGATAACGGCGCCGAGTCTTGGGACTTAATCAAAAGTGTTTAGTGTAATGGAGACGAAATTGATGCCTTAATCCACTTTACTACTACTATTTCTTAATTCACTTCATTAAAAAAAAAGCTTTACTGTTTCTCCCTCTTTTTATGCATGTACTTAGTTAAATTATTCTTCTACCTCTCCCTCCTTATTTGCTTTTTTCGTGGGACATTCTTTAGTTTGTGATAACAAAAGCGAATAAAAAGGGGACAACGTGTCTGCTCGATGTCACTAATCTTATGACATAACATGATTTAATGCAGTGATTAGTAGTATATGTTACCACGGTTTACGCAGACGCGTGATGAAAGAACATAAGGTGGTTATGAACTTGTTAGTGTAATTGTAATCATTCGATGTCACTATTAGGACTCAAATATCATATTATTGTTTTATACCCCGTAAAGATTTGCATGAGATTAATAGAATATGAGATTTCAAAATTAAGCAACATGTTTCTTTTTCTTTCTCTCACACATGCTCAGTCTTTAACCCCTATGGCCCATTGGCCCCTACCCAGTGATGCTACTCGACGAATTTTCATTGGTTTTCGAATCACAGGAATCTTTTCCTGTCTTCACTAAAAAGGTGTCTCTTTAAATAGTCTTTACCTTCTGAATGGTTTTCACATTTGAAAACCTTTAACCAGAAAAAATTGGCTTGCACATTTTGTTGAAAGGAAAAACTGTGGGTTGTTCCACTAGTATAACATATGCAGAGCCGTGCCCAGGGTTTTTTGGCCCATAGGCAAAATTAATTTTAATCTAATGTTTTTAAGGAAGTTTTTTTAACAAAAAAAATGAAGTTGGTAAAAAATAAAGGAAAGAAAATCAATGGGGTAAAAAAACAAACACATGATAAATACAGAAATCAAAGAGTGGTGGACATTTTAGAGAGAAGACCGAACAAAAGCATATTTAGGTGGAGTAACATCCTAAATTTAATACAAAACTAAATATCTTTAATTAAATAAATACAAAATTAAACGTGGACCGTAGGCGAATGTTTCAATTTTTATCAAGTGGGCACGGCCCTGAACATATGGTTCATTAAAAAGGGTATGATCATCAACTGATGCAATGTAGAATTAGATAAGAAAAGATCATCTTTAATAGATTTTTTTTTAATACCATAAATTTTCAGTTTAAAACCAGTTGACATTTATCTGTCTATGTTTTTCTATATTTGTCAGTGTATCATTTCAGAATGACTCCTAAATCCTACAATTAAGGTTATTTTTCGATTTTTTGAATTTAAATAGATTGTTTATATATAAAGTTTTATTCAATGTTATATAGTTAAGTAAAATAGTTTTTAATTATATGTTCTCCTTTTATTCGGCATTTTTTTTTGTTTAAAACAACAAAATATATGACAAATGTTTGGTTATATTTTGTTGTGAAATGAGAGAATGAAGGTTGTCTTATTCATGAGGGAAGAATTCTTTATATAGAGTACATAGTAGGGTTCCAAGGGAAATCAACATTGGGGAGAAGTGGGCCTAATGGACATCCACCTATGGAACTAATGGGCATCCACTTACCCATAACACTCCCCCTTGGATGTCCATTATACAAAAATATATTCTAAATACATAAGGTGCTGCCTCGTTAAAACCTTTACTAGGAAAACCCTAAGGGAAAAACCTTAGCTAAGGAAAAAGAGTGCAGCGCATAATTACTCCCCCTCATGAGAACACCCGTCTAAATGTTTGAGACGACATAATCCAACAAGATGAACTAACTCCTTGAAAGTAGTCGCTGGAAACTCCTTGTTTAAAGAAATCTTCAAAATCTTCACTTGAATAATCTTTAGAATGTTGATATCGCCATTCTTCGTCAGTGCATGGATGTAGTTGATGATTCATCTTGAATCATTCTCTTTGTTTCATTGACCTCATAAATGGATGACAAAGACTTTGGAAAAGGAGATAACTTTCATCTTTAGACTTCCTTTAGATGTTTTCTCATTTGTGTGTTCTTTGTTGCCTCATTAAAACCTTTCATGGAAAAACCCAATGGGATAAAAACCATGATAAGGAAAAAGAGTACAACCACACATATCATCATATATCTTCCCTTTGGAAGCATCTTCTTCAAGAGATGCATTCCAATAATCAATATCCAACTTTTGGAGATTACTATGAGTATAACCTCAGTTAATAAACTCATATGATTATCTTATAATCTTCTAGGTCATTTAAACTTCTAGTCTATGATATGTCTTCAATATTTCTATTATAAGTAATTATTTCTTGGTCTATATTTGGACTTCGGCCAAACTTTCCCTTCTACATAAATTCTTGTGAAATATATCTTGTATATATAAGTTATCTCATGCTCATTTTGCTTATCTTTGAAAGAGACCAACACATTTCTCAAACATAATTTAAAGTATGTACTTCAAGACCAAATGTGAGCATTTTTAATGCAAATCTTACAAGGATCTTTTGAGATTACATCTTTTTGTTAAACTGTGAATATGAGATATCTTAAGACAAATTTGTCTTTCCAATATCTTTTATCTAATTTCAACAATTCTTCAGGAATTTCGATAATGTTTAGATTAAAGATCTCTTTTGATCCAACCTAAATTTTTATAAATATACACTGGTAACACTTTTGTGATTGTACCCCAATGAGAGTATTTCTCTTCATTTGATCAAATAATTAGAGTTCTTTGGGAACATAGTTTTGATATCATTAATCCTTCAGGAATTATATCCTTCAGGGACTTTTATAAAAATGTCATTATTTAGTGGGTCTTAAGTCAAGTTCTTCTTTCATTGCCACACTTAATGAACTTGAAAGTTGCATCCACCACATGCCTATTATAACCCACTTGTTTTACACTTTTAAGGTGTAAGGACTTCTGGTCCAAATACATTTCTCTTTCTAAGAGATTTTAGTTTTGTCTATTGCTTCTTTTCGATTTGGCCAAATCATTACTTTGTGTACACAATGCAATAGACTTTGTTTCATGATCCTCTTTCTCATTCATAACATCAACTGCTATAATGCATGCAAATATTTTATTTACGACGTCGATTTGCTTTTATGGTTCCATTTTATTCCATACATGACATAATTAATTCTCGAGATCTCTTCTTTGTCTCAGGTACCTGAATTTCTTTCTTGTCATGTTTAATATCTCTTCTTGAGATCATTTCAAAAACATTTGTTTCCTCGGTTTAACCATTATCAATTTATGCTCATTTTACTTTACCGAGGTCACTAATATTTGGAACCAACAAGTCTATCACACTTCATGCGTTCTTTAGACTTACTAGCAGTTTGATATTGTCCTTCTGGGAAATCAATTATTCTTAGAGCATTTACAGCTGGTAAGTGACTCAACACTATATTTGGGTCAGTAATTGTATCTGGCAATTGATACAGTAAGTTTTGTGAATGAATTATCTTTTAGACTTTTATTTCACATACTATCGTCTGAGGATCAATGATAATTCATTCTAACTTTAATCTTTCTCCAGCTGTTTTATTTTCTCCCCCTGATGTTGGAAAGACTGACTCACTAAAATGACAGTCTACAAATTGAGTCATATTTAAATCCTTCATGGATAGCTCAGATATTATCATAGGAGATTAATATCCAACATACATTTACTATCCCTTTCGAGGGTCCATCTTATATTGTTGTGGTGGAGCATTATGAATGTATTCTGCACATCCATAGATCTTTAGATGGAAAACTTTGGTTTCTGACCTAAACCAATTACGATGGGGAGAAACTTTAGTTATTCATTGGCTTTATGCGAATTAATGCTTTTGCATTATGTGTAATTATGAACATTTGCTACTGGATGTTCAACATTTATTCTTACAAACATGTTTTTCTCAACAAAGATTTAAGATGTGATTTCACTAGCACTACCAAGTAATCTCGCAAACTTCAGGTTGCAGATATGTAATATTGAGATATACATGATGTATTTTATTTCGCATAATATCTTGAACTGAAATGGTCTAACCAGCTCATGCCAAACTATGTTATATTCTGTAAACTTCTAGTTTACTACATAAGATTTACATCTCCTATATAATATTTGTCTATGATAAGGCATTAGATAGTGTATATTTTTTTTCAAAATAATTTTACACCATTGAGTTACATTATATATGATTCATCAGATTATTTTTAGTGTAAACATAATCTTCTAGATGTTCCACTTTCTAGTGATTGAGGGATTCATCCATTCTCCCCCTCGAGATGATGTCACTTCAGGTTCATCAATCTCGAATGAAATCCTAGTATAAAATCAATAATATATCCAACTTGAATCATGTTTTATATCTTTGATTCTTTAAACTTTTTATATTTTTATTATGTGTTTGATTCTTTTCACTTCTGGGATTTCAAAGATATAATGCATCAAAAAAATTGTTTACTATAAGCAAATACAAATATATATACTCTTCTGGAGATGTGTATCTTTTATTTGCTGCCATCTTTATTTTCTCACTTCTTGTGTGAATTTGATTTCATGTAATAAAACTCTTTGGTTTTGACCTTAACATGAACTATAAAAGATTCATATTCATGTCTATGATCATATCTTTAATCATTCATATCATATTCACTTCAGGGAATGGATCAAAACCAATTAGACAAGATTCAAGATGTTCATTAGTAACTCATTATTTTATCAAAATAATTTCTTAAACTTTCTTTATAATATTTTGTCAGCTGGACAATATATGCCTTTTATCATCATTGATTTATATTATCTTCCAGATAAAATCATTTATAGACTTCAAGTCTTGTAATCTTAGATGCAAATAAAAGATATTCATATAAAGGATAGTAGAAAAATAAATAAATATTATCAAACAAATATAGAAACAAAGTATAATAATATAATAATAACAAAATATAAATAAATAGTATCAATAACATTACCGTTTTACTATCAAGTGACAATTTGAGTTTGTCATATTTTGTCTGCAAGACAATAATATTTAAAATTTCTTTGTTATTGTGTCTACTGGACAACAATATTTTAAAAATATTCCTTAAATATATTTATGCTATTGTGTCTGCACGACAACAATATTTTCATAATTTCACCTTATACATTTTTATTAGTAATATATTTTCACTTATAAACTTCAAGTTTATATGGTCTAAGATCCAATATTTATCTTTAGATAGTTCTATTAGATCATATCATTTCAGATGATTGTTCATTTGTTTTAGATTGCTATATTAGATCACTTCTAGTGATCATGTCTTTCTTTTTACTCTATGGTAAAAATTATTCCATTTTAAGATCATTGGAGATGTAACAATATATAAATACACTCATAAATATTCAGCAAAATATTTTGTATATAATCTACACATAAACAATGATAATATTAATTACTCAATCAATCACCAATTAGATTATTTCCATCATACCATTAGGTTCTCAATTAAAACATGTGATTAACAATCAATTAGAACATGAGACAACAAATGTATAAATACTAAACCAATTTGATTAACAGATCAAATTTATTAATATGACTAGTCATATTTTAAACAAATAGCCAAAAAGAAACCGAATGAACTGATTTCTATTTAAAACCAACTCTTATCAATTCGAAATAATTTATTGAAATCAATTAAACCAATATAAACAAATACGTTAGTCAATATAATCATCAATCAAAACAAATTAATTCAGTCAATACTAATTTAAGACGAAAATTTAAAGCATGGTCTTATTTGATCAAATGGTCAAAATAACAATTTAATATAGTCAAGTGATCAATGCAAGAATATTTCAAATTAATGCAAACAATGCAAATTAATTCAATTTTCTTCAATTTTCAATAATTATTCAATTTAGCAATTAATTAATTACGAAAATAAATAAATAAATGTGAAAAGCAAATAGATAATAATAAACAATATAAAATCCTTTTGGGATATAAATAAGTTATAAATCCTGCAGGGATATATATATATATATATAAAATAAATAAAATATGAAAACCAACAGTAGCCTTTTCAGACTCCAATATCTTCGTCACCTAAGCCTTACTGAATGTAATCTCAACGGAGAGATTCCTTCTTCACTAGGAAACCTCTCTCGTCTCACACACGTTGACCTCGGTTATAATAATCTGGTTGGTGAAATTCCTGTTTCAGTAGGCAATCTAAAGCAGCTAAGATACCTTAACGTTTGGGGTAACTCTCTTGGAAAAATTCCGGCTTCAATAGGCAATCTAAGCCATCTAAGATACCTTAACCTTAAGTATAATCATCTGGTAGGTGAATTTCCGGCTTCAATAGACAATCTAAGTAATCTAAGATACCTTAGCCTTGCAGCTAACGGTCTCACTGGAGAAATTCCGACTTCAATAGGCAGCCTAAGCCATATAAGATACCTTAGCCTCGGGGCTAACAGTCTCAGAGGAGAGATACCTTCTTCGCTAGAAAACCTTTCTCGTCTAACGCATGTTGACCTTGGTTCTAATAAATTGGTAGGTGAGATCCCGACTTCAATAGGCAGTCTAAGCCATCTAGAATACCTTAGCCTTGGGGATAACCATCTCAAAGGAGATATTCCTGCTTTAATAGGCAATCTAAACAACCTAAGATACCTTGATCTCTGGGGTAACACTCTTACAGGAGAAATTCCGACTTCACTAGGTAATTTAAACCAGTTAAATAACTTCATCCTTGCGTCTAACGAGCTCACAGGAGAAATTCCTTCTTCATTAGGAAACCTTTCTAGTCTCTTACTTCTGGAACTTTCGTATAATCGTTTGGTAGGAAAGATTCCTTCTTCATTAGGAAACCTTGCTCGCCTCTTAGATCTTAGACTTTTGGCTAATCATTTGATAGGTGAAGTTCCCGATTCCATCAGAAACCTAGACAAACTAAGAGTCATGTCCCTTGGCAACAATAGCTTAAGTGGCGATATTTCTTTTATATTAGCCAATTTAACCAAACTTTCCGAGATTAGCCTCTACTCTAATAACTTGACATCCACGCTTCCATCTGACATGAGTGGATTCCACTACTTGGAGCGATTTGATGTTAGTGGAAACTCATTTCTAGGGCCTTTCCCTAAATCCTTGTTCTCGATTCCTTCGTTAATATCGGTTCTTTTGCAAGAAAACCAATTCACGGGACCTATAGAGTTTGCGTATACATCTTCCTCATTATCTAAGCTAGACTTTCTAAACCTTAGTAGTAACCAATTCCATGGCCCAATCCCGGAATCCATATCAAAATTTCCCAAGCTTGGACGGTTAGATCTTAGCCACAACAATTTCACTGGACCAATCCCTAGATCTATGTCAAAGTTGGTCAGCCTCAATTACATCGATCTTTCCAATAACATGTTGGAAGGTGAAGTACCAGGTTTCTTATGGAGATGCAGAATGGTGTTGCTTTCTCACAATTCTTTCAGCAGTTTTGAAAATCCATCTTCACAAGAATTACTGATCCAAGAGTTGCATCTGAATTCAAATTCGTTTCGAGGACCATTTCCCCTTTCCATCTGCAATATTAAAGGGTTACGTTTCTTAGATTTGTCCAACAACCTCTTCAGCGGCTGGATTCCTCAATGTTTAAGGAATCTCCTAGTTTCCATCTACGAGCTAAATCTGGGGAGCAACAGTTTCAGTGGAACTATTCCAGATATATTTGCCAATGCTGCCAGTTTATCATCATTTGACATTAGCCGCAACCAGCTTGAGGGAAATCTTCCAAATTCATTGATGAACTGCGAATATCTGGAGCTTGTGAATGTGGAAAGCAACAGACTCAAGGGAAAATTTCCATCTTGGTTGGGATCTCTGCCGTCATTAAATGTTCTCATCCTCAGATCAAACGAATTCTATGGGCCCTTGTGCGTGTCCAATGGGTTTCAGAGATTAAGGGTCATCGACATTTCAGATAATGACTTCACTGGAACTCTTCCACCGCACTATTTTTCAAACTGGAGTGAAATGACCACACTCACTGAATATAGTACTATCGAGTACATGTTGGTGTTTGCGAATCTATCTGCTCTCACTTATCGCTCGATGGAATTGGTGAATAAAGGAGTCGATATGAGGTTTGAGAGGATCCGACGAGACTTTAGAGCCATTGACTTTTCTGGAAATAGAATTTCTGGCAAAATCCCTGAATCTATCGGCTCGCTGAAGGAATTACGTCTTCTCAACTTGTCACGTAACGCATTCACAGGCAATATCCCACGGATCTTGGCAAAACTGACGAAGCTCGAGACATTAGACCTCTCTAGTAACAAGCTGTCAGGTCAAATCCCTCAAGAACTTGGTGAACTCTCCTTTCTTTCATCCATGAACTTCTCCCATAACCTTCTCCATGGTCTAGTGCCACGTGGCACGCAGTTTCAAAGGCAAAATTGCTCTTCGTTCCTGGACAACCCTAGGCTTTACGGTCTTGAAGATATCTGTGGAAAACGCCATGTCCCAAAGCCTACACCACAGCAACAACCTGAGGAAGAGTCAGAGTCGGAGGAACCGATGTTCAACTGGATAGCAGCTGCAATAGCCTATGTACCTGGTATATTTTGCGGGTTGGTGATCGGACATATCTTCACTTCACACTATTATGAGTGGTTTCACTGAAATGTTTGTCGGAAAAATCTCAAAGTCACCGCAAGTGCTCGCTTATATCTCGTCTCTTGTAGATTCTCTAAAATAAGCATTTGGGAAGCATATGTTGTCCATTTTTTTGTTTGTGTTTGTACTTACTTTGCTGGTGTCTTCTCCAAAAGACTTGTTTGTGTTTGTTTGTAATTTTCTATTTAATGGTTTTGCAATAAACGCCGTATTGTGGTATTTGAGAATATTGGCTTAAAAACGTACACCAACACTCTTGCTTGTCCCACACGTCAAACATACAGTAGAAACTCTATAAATTAATAATGTCGGGACTTTGATATTTTATTAATTTATAGAGTTATTAATATATAGATTTTGACCAAAAATGTTTTTTTCAAAAAAATAAATTCAATAATAATAATCTTTTAAGTTTTCCTTCAAATGAAATAAGAATTTTCCTTTATACATATATTTTCTTAACTTTTTTCTTTAATTGTTTCTATATTTACTTTATTGTTTACATTTTCTCATACTCCTATATTGTTTTAAATTTCCTTTTTTTCTTTTATTTTTTTATGTGTGAGAGATTCATATTTTAGTAGGTAGATATCTAGATAAAAAATATATATATATATATAGAAATAAGTTTTTATATGATAATTATTAATTTATGATATTATTGGGACCATATTTTACATAGGAGTTTAAAAAAAGTTATTATCTTATTATCTTATCGAATTGTGTCATATTTTACACCGGCCCAACTTGGGACCGGAAAAATTTATTAATTTATCGTGTTTATTAATTTATCGAGTATTAATTTATAGAGTTTCTACTGTACTATCCATGTCCATAACGATTCCGATTTCTAAAAGACAAATAGAGAGATTCCGACATTTAAAAGGCAACTCAACCCTTATATTGATGAAGGGTCCACACCTGGTTTTTTAAAAGAAAATTATAGAATTTAGTCAAATGATCAAAGACCCTTGCTGATTTTTCGTACCAATTGACAAGTAGAGAAATACCTAAATGATATATGATATTTTAACGACAAACGCTATTAGTTACAACTGAAAAACAAGTTAGGAAACCTGAAAATGGTGTATTAATAGCACAATAAGATAGCTCAGTTTACGTAAATGTTATTATAGAAGTATTGGTATGAAGGAGTTGTGAAGCAGAGAACTTCTGGAGAAATGATCGACCGTTGGGAAGAATTATATAATAGATCAAATTTTTTTGTTCTACACATTCAAAAAAAAAAAACTAACGAAACTATGGGGTTGTATAAATCTTTAGAATGAGTTTGCTGACGGAGTTGCATAAAGCATCTCGTGAGTCGTGAGACTACTTTACTATCCGACGACGATCATCATGTCCGACAGCTCGTCGATTCGGAAACCAGTGTCTGCTGACGGAGTTGACCTTCCTTTATAGCTTCTGGGTGATTAACAGGTAGAGCTTGCTTTGTAAATATTATAATTTGTCAAACCAATTTTTCAGATGGACACAGTCTAACGTTCTGTGAAGAACGCTGATATATTTCGTTTTGGCATAGAAATTGGCTATACTCTTTTTGTAAAATATTGATGATTTGATGAATAATGCTAAGTCGAAAAGTTTGTGACTTTTTGTTTATTGGACTCTTCGCCGTTTTTTAGATAGACAAAAAGTCTAGGAATCTGTGAAGAACGAAAATATATTTTTGGTTTCGTAATAGAAGCTGGCAAAGCTTATGGTAAAAACTGATGGCTTGACGAAGAATGTAACGTCGACAATTTGTTTTTCTGTGTGTTACTTTGACTCTTGATGGCATATCTGCTGAGTGGTTTTCATGAAAAACAAACTGTTTGTAGAAATGTCATAAAGAAAATTGAAGTTGAATTTTCTGTTTTTTGTTTTATATAGAAAAGATATAGAACAACGTAAGTATAACACGTTGAGAGATATTTTGGAGACGACTGAATGAGTTAATGGTTTATATATGTGGCTGAGACGATTTCATATGACGAGAGGGAGCGAAAGACTAAGAGAAGTCTACCGTATCCGATGAGTTGACGCAAGACTTGGTGTAAGTGACAGCCCAACTAAAGAGTCTCTCTCTCTCTCTCTTCCTATTCTTAAAGAGAGCCGATGAAGCAAACATTACACAAACCCCCCCCAAAAAAAAAGAGAGATATGATGGCACGAAGCCATTGTTATTGCTTTTCTTGTATTGTTACCATCTGTTTCTCCTATATAATCCTCACTCTTGCTTCTCCTACGCTTCACTTTTGCCGCCACGATCAGAGGGATGCTCTTTTGAAACTCAAAGACGAGATTCCGGTTGATGAACGCTATTATCCAATTCAATGGAATAAGAGCAGTGACTGTTGTTCTTGGGAGGGTGTCACGTGTGATGATAACTCCGGCCAGGTGATATCACTCGACCTTCATAACCGCTTTCTTAGCAGCTCTTTGAAAACCAACAGTAGCCTTTTCAGACTCCAATATCTTCGTTACTTAGACCTTCGAAATTGTAGTCTCCAAGGAGAGATTCCTTCTTCACTAGGAAACCTTTCTCGTCTCACACATGTTGACCTTGGTGATAACAGATTGGTAGGTGAGATTCCTGCTTCAATACGCAATTTAAACAGCCTAAGATACCTTGACTTTTGGGGTAACACTCTTATAGGAGAAATCCCGGCTTGGATAGGCAGTCTATGCCATCTAAGATACCTTAGCCTAGGGGCTAACGGTCTCACAGGAGAGATTCCTTCTTCCCTAGGAAACCTTTCTCGTCTCACATTTCTTGCCCTTTTTTCTAATAAATTGGTAGGTGAGATCCCGGCTTCAATAGGCAGTCTGAGCCATGTAGAATACCTTGTTCTTACGGGTAACGAGCTCACAGGAGAGATTCCTTCTTCACTAGGAAACCTTTCTCGTCTCATAGAACTTGAGCTTTCTCAAAATAAGTTGGTAGGTGAAATCCCGGCTTCAATAGGCAGTCAAAGCCATCTTACGGAGCTTAACCTTGAATATAACGATCTGAAAGGAAAGATTCCATCTTCACTAGGAAACCTTTCTCGCCTTTTAAATCTTAGACTTTCTGCTAATCATTTGGTAGGTGAAGTTCCAAGTCCCGTCGGAAACCTACACAAACTAAGAGTCATGTCCCTTGAAAACAATAGCTTAAGTGGCGATATTTTTAATATATTAGCCAATTTAACCAAACTTTCGGACATTAGCCTCTATTCTAATAACTTCACATCTACACTTCCATGTGACATGAGTGGATTCCACAATTTAGAGCAATTTGATGTTAGTGAAAACTCATTTCTTGGGCCTTTCCCTAAATCCTTGTTCTCGATTCCTTCGTTACATCATGTTGATTTGGGAGAAAACCAGTTCACCGGACCGATAGAGTTTGCAAATACGTCTTCTTCATCATCTAACCTAAATTATATAAACCTTCATAGTAACAAATTCCATGGCCCAATCCCGGAATCCATATCTAACTTTCTCAACCTCATAGTGTTACTTCTTAGCCACAACAATTTCAGTGGGAATATCCCTAGATATATGTCAAAGTTAGTCAGCCTTGATTATCTTAGTGTTTCCAACAACATGTTAGAAGGTGAAGTGCCAGGTTTCTTATGGAAATTAGCGATAGTGTGGCTTTCTCACAATTCTTTCAGCAGTTTTGAAAACCCTTCTTCACAAGAAACATCCATCCGAGAGTTGCATCTGAATTCAAATTCCTTTCAAGGACCATTTCCCCTTTGTATATGCAAGCTTAAAAGGTTACGCATCTTAGATTTGTCCAACAACCTCTTCAGCGGCTCGATTCCTCCATGTTTGAGGATCCTCAGTGTTTCCATCTTCGAGCTTAATTTGGGGAGCAACAGTTTCACTGGAACTCTTCCAGATATATTTACGGATGCTATCGACTTAAGTTCTCTCGACGTTAGTGGCAATCAGCTGGAGGGACATCTTCCAAGGTCATTGATCAACTGCAAATCTCTGGAAGTTGTGAATGTGGAAAGCAACAGAATCAAAGACAAGTTTCCATCATGGTTGGGATCTCTGCCGTCATTACGTGTTCTCATCCTCAGATCAAACAAATTCTATGGGCCGTTGTATCATCCTCGTGTGTCCATTGGGTTTCAAAGTTTAAGAGTGATCGATATTTCAGCTAATGACTTCACTGGAACTCTCCCACCTCACTATTTCTCCAGCTGGCGTGAAATGACCAGACTCACTGAAGATAATGGCGACTACATGTTACAGTTTGCGAATGGTACCATCTCTTATCGCTCCATGGAAATGGTGAATAAAGGAGTTGATTTGTGGTTTGAGAGGATTCGTCAAGACTTCACAGCCATTGATTTTTCCGGAAACAGAATTTCTGGCAAAATCCCTGAATCCATTGGCTTCCTGAAGGAATTACGTCTTCTCAATTTGGCGGATAACACATTCACAGGCAATATCCCACGGATCTTGGCAAATCTGAAAGAGCTCGAAACATTAGACCTCTCGAGAAATAACTTGTCAGGTCAAATCCCTAAAGATCTTGGTAATCTCTCCTTTCTGTCATACATGAACTTCTCTCATAACCTTCTCCATGGTCCAGTGCCACGTGGCACACAGTTTCAAAGACAAAACTGCTCTTCGTTCCTGGACAACCCTAGGCTTTACGGTCTCGAAGATATATGTGGAAAACGCCATGTCTCGAATCCTACACCACAGCAAACGGAGGATGTGTCAGAGTTGGAGGAACCTATGTTCAACTGGATAGCAGCTGCAGTAGCCTATGTACCTGGTGTATTCTGCGGGTTGGTGATTGGACATATTTTCACTTCACACTATTATGAGTGGTTTCACTGATATGTTTGGTCGAAGAAAACTCAAAGTCACCGCAAGTGCTCGCTAATCTCTCTTGCAGATTCTCTAATAAGCATTTGGGAATCATATGTTATCCATTTTCTTGTTTGTGTTTGTACTGAATTTGCCAGGTGTCTTCTCCAAAAGACTGGTTTATGTTTGTTTGTAATTTCCTATTTAATGGTTTTGTAATAAACGTATACAACTTCCTCCTACTCAAATTTTCATCAATATTTTTCGCTTCGATATATAAAATACTATCACTTGTGTTTCAGACAATAATTGGAAGTGTATACACACGTACATGCATATGATCAAAGAAACGGAGAGCACGTCATCCAAAGTCCAAACCATATATTGATTATTTACTTGCAAAAAGGATAAAAGAATCTAATTCACCAATAGAATAATACCCTTGATCAAAGGAAAAAGACAAAATAATGTAATTCAGCATATATAATATAGAGACTATACAGTGGTCAATTTTTGTAACAATATACATTAGTTGGTCAATTATTTGCAAGAGGATCAAGATGGATGACGAAATCATAACTATATCAGTAGAGTACCCTTTACAATAATAAAGATTATACATTGGTCATTTATTTGTCAATGGATGGATGATGACAAAATCAAAATTAAATCAGTTCACTCATCGCGCATGTTTTTTTCTTTTGAAGTATCATGATGTTTTACACGTAATTTTAAAAAACTTAGTTAGTTTTATTCACTGACACGTATTTTTTTATTAGGGCTTAAGGGGGCTAGGAGAAACAGAGTTCTTCCTTAGTATACACGCAAACTTTAAACATCACACGATGAAAAGTATGTGTAGGTAGGAGAAATTAAGCGTAAAGTTTTACAAAGGAACACTGTGCAAGACGACCGTTTCTACAGTGAGACCTGGTCCAAAACCAAACAAGACACCCCACTCCAACCCTTCTCCTGTCGTCACTGCACCATCCTCAGCAGACTTCCTCCTCATCTCATCAAGTACGAAGAGGACGGTCGCGCTCGACATGTTGCCATACTCTCTCAACACCTGACGAGTCGCCTTCATCTTCTCTGCCTTTAGCCCTAGCTTTATCTCAACTTGGTCGAGGATCGCTGGACCTCCAGGATGTGCTATCCAGAAGAGAGAGTTCCAATCTCTTATCCCAAGCGGTTTAAACGCTTCTTCTAGACTAGTCTCGATGTTCTTTGAGATGAGCTCAGGAACAGTCTTCAAGAGATGAAAGGTAAGTCCCACTTCCTTTAGATGTCCTTCTATGGCTCCCTCTGAGTCTGGGAGGATGGTCTGTGCGGCAGACACCATCTCAAAGATTGGCTTCTCTCCCGCAGAAGTATCCACGTCCGAACCCACAATGAGTGCGGCAGCGCCATCACCGAAGAGGCATTGTCCAACAAGGGAGTCGAGGTGGGTGTCTGAGGGGCCAGAGAAGGTGATTGCTGTAATCTCAGAGCAAACAACAAGGACACGTGCGCCACGGTTGTTCTCAGCGATGTCCTTGGCCAAACGAAGGACAGTGCCACCAGCGAAGCAACCTTGTTGGTACATCATGAGACGCTTAACGGAGGGACTTAGGCCGAGGAGCTTGATGAGGTGGTAGTCAGCACCAGGCATGTCGACGCCAGAGGTGGTGCAGAAGACGAGATGAGTGATCTTGGACTTGAGCTGACCCCAGTCCTTGATAGCCTTCACTGCTGCCTCTTTGCCTAGCTTAGGGACCTCGGCCACCACGATGTCTTGCCTAATGTCCAAGGAAGGAGCCATGTGGGCGCATATCTTCGGGTTGTCTTTCAGAAACTCCTCAGTGAGGTGCATGTGCCGTTTCCGTACCATCGATTTGTCGCCTATTATAGTAATAGATAAAAGTTCAGTTTGCCTAACTATATGTATATGTGAATACATGCCAAAAAAGAATAAAGAGATAAAGTAGGAAATGAAACGTACACATGCGCTTGAACTTGTCCTTGAGGTCGGTCATGTGTTCACTGTTGGTGATGCGGAAATAGTAGTCTGGATACTCTGTCTGGATCACATGGTTCGTAGGGTTTGCCGTGCCTATCCCTAAGATGCTTGCTGGTCCATCCGCTCTTTGTGCCTTTCTGATCTCATCCAACGATGACGCACCTATCACCATAGTAATAGCAAGTGTGTGGATTGGAGTTTGATGTATTGGTTTTGTGTAATATGCAAGATTTGTGTATTAGAAAGTAGGCCGAGAGTGAGTGATTATATAAGAAACGTAGGTGGTTACATGGATGGGTACACCGTACACAATGGATATGGAAAATTGTTAGTCTTTTAAAATTATTTTACTGTCATTTTCATTTCCTAAAGTTTTATATTATGAAGGAGACAAAATAATTAAATTGATTCATAATTCTTACAATATACATAAAACATTATTTTATTTTGGGCAAATTAAACATCCCTCAAGTGTTCAAATTTTTAATATAGAAACCAATTTTAGAAAGACTGCAGTTCCCATTATTTTAAAAGACCAAATTCATAATTGGTAACCAAGGCCTGTCTATTGCTGGTTGAAAGTGAGAAGTATTCAAATAATTCCAGAATAATTGGGGAAAAGGTCTTCTATTCGGATAAAATGATCATATGTTCAGAAAGTCTTCTATTCGCCTTTTATAAAATCAGATTAATAAGAAAATTCGCTTTGAAATTTAAAAAATGGGATAGACCAAATGTTTGTTTTCTAAATTTTTTTCTCCAAATTGAAAATTATTTCAAAAATAGGGTCAGTTAAGAAATGTCCGTTCTAATTAATTTTGTTTTATCTAAAACAAAATTATAATTGATAACAGTTACGTGAGAAAAAAAATTTGGGGATTCATATACCCAAACAAAAAATGTTGTTACTAATTGTAAGAGTTTTGTCCTCCAAAACTTGAAAAATATGTAACTAATATTAAAATATATAATTTTTATATTTATGTGCTATCTTTTATATAAAAAATGTTTAATAAATTTAAAAAATGTAATAAAATTTTCTCCCCATACTAATCTTGATTTCTGATTTTTGAAAAATTAGAAATCCTGAAATAACGTCTAACGATTTTTTAACACATAATGTACTTGATGTCACCATTACGTAATTGGTTCTAAACCAAGGCGTGTCTATTGCTTGCTTGTGGGTTGAAAACTATATTTTGATCGTATCCAATTTACCCTTTTAGTAATGTAGTTAACCATGCATTTTTTGTTTGCTGGTATGGTTATCTATGCGACCGATTTAGTAGTTCCATTTTCACAAAACATATGGTTACAAAATTAAAACTTTAATGGAGATTTTGGTGAGAATTGAATGAGTCCAATGGAAAGTTTGGGGGACAAGTAGGTACAATTCATTAATGCAAAAGCAACAGAATTCAATGAGTTGACGCAAGACTTTGGTAACTCATACAGCCCCACTTTTAGTGTTAACTCTTCTTCTTAAAGAGAGCTACTAAAGCATACAAGACAACACATTACTCAGAACAACACAGAGATAGGATGCCTCGAAGCCATTGTTATTGCCTTTCTGGTTATATTATATATTTCTCCCTCCTAATCCACACTCTTGCTTCTCCTCCACTCCACTTATGCCTCCACGACCAGAGGGATGCTCTTTTGGAATTCAAAGACGAGTTTCCGATTGATGAGCTTGACCCAGTTCCGTGGAACAAGATCACAAGTACTGATTGCTGTTTCTGGAAGGGTGTCACGTGCGATGATAAATCTGGCCAAGTGATATCACTCAACCTTCATGACACCAATCTCAACGGCTCTCTGAAAGCCAACAGCAGCCTTTTCAGACTCCAACATCTTCGTCACTTGAATCTCACTGGCTGTAGTCTCCAAGGAGAGATACCTTCTTCACTAGGAAACTTATCTCGTCTCACACTTGTAGACCTTTCTCAAAATGATTTGGTAGGTGAGATTCCGTCTTCTATAAGCAACCTAAAGCGACTAAGATACGTCAACCTTGGGGCTAACGAGCTCTCAGGAGAGATTCCGTTTTCAGTCGGCAATCTAAACCAGCTAAGATACCTTATCCTTGCGGCTAACATGCTCACAGGAGAGATACCTTCTTCACTAGGAAACCTTTCTCGCCTCTTAGATCTTAGGCTTTCCATTAATAACTTGGTAGGTCAAGTCCCGGCTTTCATCGGAAACCTAACCGAGCTACAAGTCGTGTCACTTGGCCAAAACAAGTTAAACGGCAGCGTTCCTAAATCATTCGCCAATTTGACCAAGCTTTATCATATTAGCCTCCGCTCTAATTACTTGACATCCACGCTTCCTTTTGACATGAGTGGATTCCACAACCTGGAGCATTTTGATGTTGGTAACAACTCGTTTCTCGGGTCTTTCCCTAAATCTTTGTTCTTGATCCCTTCCTTACAAGTGGTTAACTTGGAAGATAACCAATTCACAGGAACTATAGATTTTGTGAATACATCTACCTCATTGCCTAACCTAGATTATCTAAACCTAGGTAGTAACAGATTCCATGGCCCAATCCCGGAATCTATATCTAGATTTCTCAACCTTGGAGAGTTAGATCTTAGCCTCAACAATTTCACTGGAACAATCCCTAGATCTATCTCAAAGTTAGCCAACCTAGACGTACTTGATCTCTCCGACAACAAGTTACAAGGTCAAGTACCAGGTTCCTTGTGGAGACTAACGACAATGACGCTTTCTCGCAACTGTTTCAGCAGCTTTGAGAAACCAAACCCTTCAGAGGAAACACTGATCCAAGCGTTGGATCTCAACTCAAACTCATTCCGAGGACCACTTCCCCACTGGTTCTGCAAGATTCAATGGTTAAGCTTCTTAGATTTGTCAAACAATCTCTTCAACGGCTCTATTCCTCCATGTCTAAGCAACTCCATTGTTTCTTTCACATGTCTGATTCTACGTAACAACAGTTTCAGTGGGTTGCTTCCAGATATATTTTCCAATGCCACCGAGTTACGATCACTCGACGTTAGTAGGAACAAGCTTGAGGGAAATCTTCCAAGGTCTTTAATCAGTTGCGTTTCTCTGCGGCTTGTGAGTGTGGAAAGCAACAGAATCAAGGGACAGTTTCCATCTTGGTTGGGATCTCTGCCGTCATTACATGTTCTCATCCTCAGATCAAACGACTTCTATGGTCCGTTGGATGAGTCCGTTGGGTTTGAGAGTTTAAGAGTCATCGATCTTTCACACAATGACTTCACCGGAACTCTCCAGCCTCATTCTTTCTCCAGCTGGCGTGGAATGACCACAGTGAGGGAAGAAGATGATCCGTACATGGCAGATATCATCAACTATTCTACCTTCTATCGTAATTCCATGGTGTTGGTGATTAAAGGAGTAGAGACGAGCTTCGAGCGGATCCAACAAGACTTCAGAGCCGTTGATATTTCCGGAAACAGAATTTATGGCAAAATTCCTGAGTCTTTGTGCTTGTTGAAGGAGTTGCGTCTTCTCAACTTGTCTGGTAATGCCTTCACTAGCGATATCCCACGATCCTTAGCAAATCTGACAAAGCTCGAGACATTGGATCTGTCGAGTAATAACTTGTCAGGTCAAATCCCTCAAGAACTTGGTGAACTCTCGTTTTTGTCATACATGAACTTCTCCCATAACCTTCTCCGAGGTCACGTGCCACGAAGCACACAGTTTCAGAGCCAGAGGTGTTCTTCATTCTCGGACAACTCTGGACTCTACGGTCTGGAAGAAATCTGTGGAGAAACCCATGTCCTAGATCCTACATCACAGCAACAACCTGAGGAATTGGCAGAGTCGGAGGAACCTATGTTCAACTGGATAGCAGCTGCAGTAGCCTATGGTCCTGGTGTGTTTTGTGGATTGGTGATCGGACATATCTTCTTCAATTCACGCTATTATAAGTTGGTCGGAGAAAAAAAACTCAAAGTGACCTCAAGTGCTCGCTAAGCTCGTCTCTTGTAGTCTCTCTTATAAGCATTTGTGAAGCGTATGTTTGTCCATCGTCTTGTTTGTGTTTGTAGCTTTGTTTTGACTTTGCGAGATATTTCTCCAAAACACTCGTTTGTGTTTGTATTTAATGGTTTTGTAATAAACGTACTGTATTACAAAAAACCAAAGTGTAAAAGAGAACTTTATATTTATGAAGGATCCAGCAACTACCCAAAAAACCAAAAAACGTATACATGAAGAAAAGAAATAGCGTAGCAGCCGTAAAAGAAAATAATATGTGAGCAATGAAACAATGGTGAGACCAAGAAAGAAAACAGAACAAAAATTTACATAATTTGAGAGGAAGACAGAAACAACCTGAAAACCTGATCTGAACCTTTAGTAAAGCTTTATATTGTGGTGGAGGAAGCTAATCCCATAAAGATGTTTACATAACATCTCCAATTTTCTCTGAATCACAAATCACACAGCATAAAACTCCACATGTATATGCCTCTCTTCACTGCATGACAAAACTCCAAACTGATGAGCCTTTGGTCATAATAGATCCAATAGAGATGGTTGTGAAGCATTGGGCTTTGAGGTAGAAGAGCCAGTGCCACCTCTACCTCTTCCCCTTCCTCTTCCCATTGCTCCTGAAGGTGGTGGGGCCAGTCTCATTGCAGGCTGCTCGGTTTTGCTTGAACCGAATATGGAGCTGATGTCTGCTGGCTTCTGGTTACTATTGTATGAACCACTGGTGAAAGATGCCGTTCCTTGGCTCTGTTTTGGTAAACCAAAAGAGTTCAGTACATCCTGATTACTTTGCTGTGGTTGTTTCATGGAAGGCAATGAGGCACTGCTGAATGCCCAGTTGTCACTGTTAGCTGTCTGAAAGGCTGTGTTGGCAGGTAAATTGTTGCTAAAACCAGATGAAGCGCCATTGTTGAGACCAGTAGAAGCAACGGAAGCGCCGTTGTTGGGACGTGGAGGCCAATTAGCAAACGGATCTAATTCATCAAAACCTGGAGTAGATGATGTTCCTGTGTTTAGCTCTGTTTTCTCATAAGCGAGGCTTGAAGACTGTTTCGGAGGCCACTCGATGTCCACTGGAGGGCATGTGGTAGTAGGTGTTGTTGGCTTGTTGGGAGGAGTAGACATGATCGACGGCTGTGACTGATTTGTGGATTTGTTAAAGTGATTGTTTGTGTCGTGATGAGAAGACGCGGGAGTTCCCGAAGCAGAGCCTTTGCTTGGAGAAGCCCAATCTTCATCCCAAGCTGGACTGCTCTTGGCTGCAGAAGCAACGTTCACAGGTGCTTGGGTTGATGACTGAAACTGGACTCCATTAGCAACAGAGTTTGGTTTCACCTCTGGAATTCCAGAATCATTCAGTGTAACTCCTCTTTTTTCCTCTATTTTTCTGTTACAAGAAACACAAGCAAGATCATAAGAAAGACAGCAAAACACTATGAAGTGGTAAGGGCGTGAAAACAGCAGACGCACCTGAGAATATCCTTGACAAATTGCATGTATTTGGCAAACTGCTGGACGTTAAGCTGTTGGGCGGTGAGAAGCGGCATCATCAGGGTAAGCACATGCTCCGCGGTGAATTCGACTCCATACTAGAGAGCAATGACAGAGAATACAGAATATGAGATGTGATGCTATATCAAGACATTCAATATTCAAACGTTAAAGGAGCAATTTGACCCATCTTCCCACCTGTTTGAGAATCGCGTTTGCAATAGCAAGTGTACACATAAGGGTGGGTGCAGAACGATCAACAGCAGTACAACGCTGAATTGTTTCCAGAATTTCGATAACAGCAGGTTTATCAAGCGTTTGAACCAGCTCTGCTAAACAGAGCAGAGCATTTACTCTGACCTGAACAACAAGTGCATTTAAATCAAATTCTTTGGAAGATGGAGTCTCTCTATTTAACTTTTCTCTATATTTTTCAGGCTATTAAAGGACAGTGGTTTTAAAAGAAAATCGGCTGAGATAATCGAGCAAGGCATAACCTACCGCAGCAACTGTAGTTTTGAGAGCTAAGCCATGGACCCGAGGCAAAATTACTTGCTTTACAACCTATGAAATCAAAATGGAAAAATTAACTAGACGAACTCATCCAGTGTAATTGACTGACACTATCCTGCACAACCACAGAGCCTAAATGCACGTCACACAATTGCTGTCGAAGCCGCATACCGAAATTATATTCATCTTTCTGGAAAACATAAAAAACAAGAATAACTGAGCATCACCTGACCGTCGAGTTGCTTCGCGATAGATGTGGATTTTTTTAGAACTTCCTCCTGAATGCGGACATCATTATCATTGTAGGCTCGGAGAAGCAAAGGGAGGACATGCGATCCAAGATGCTCGCTATTTGTCTGAAAAGTTACTCAAAAACATAAGCAAAAGGCTCTCGGATCTCACCTTGTATGCAATTTAAAATAAGGAAAAGTGATATGCATATTTACGACTGGTCCAGGAACAGACAGCAGTCGGTCTAACTTCAATATGGAAGCTTTGAATCATATTCATAAATACAAGAAAAATCATAAATAGATATCCAAAACAGATATGTGATAGAACTATAGAAATGAAGAGTCCCCCTAGATCATATAAGTTAATGGCACAAAAGACTATTATATAGAGCTCATGTGCTGCTATCTACTAATGCCAGTACATTTGTCACAGGAACCACTACTTTACACCGAAATCTTTTATCCTATCGGACCGTGTCCAGTCAGAAGAACTTAAGCAGAGACAAACATGCGCAGGGTAAGAAATAACATAATTCAGCAATGGCTGTAATGCATACACATTAATCAATTTTACCTTGTTAGTAATAAGATCTGCATGCTTTACAAGCAGCAGTAGTGTATCTCCAGAAGCAGTACTCAGAACAGGAACAAGAGCAGGCAGTGTTATCAACTCAAAGTCATTCCTATCCTGCAAATGGAGTTTTAAGATTTAGTTAAACAGTAGTTCTGACGCTCTAATGATCAAAGACGATTACTAAGGAACGGGTTTTTGTACAAAGTGACATGTTGAGAAATAACTTAGTGAAATCTAACAACAAACACCATGTTTTACAAGTAAAACCAATTTAGGGAGGAACGGTGAACAAATACAAGTAAGTGACAAGGAAAAGTAGTTTTATGAGGAACCTACTCACAAATCAAAAAGAGGAAAACATGGGACTTTGATTACCTGAGATTGTGCTATAGTTAGAACCATTGGCAAGATCATTGGTTGCAAAACCAAATTCCTAAGTTCAGCACAGAGAGGCGGAAGCACCTGCATGGTAAAACCTATTTCGCTTAGTAGTTGCAAGACACATCACTCGAGATCTATTTTCCTATCAAGTCGCAAGATAAGTCAGCAAAAGTGACTACCTTATATCGTAATACACGGGAATCAAAGTCTTTCCACATATCTGATAATGCTTTTAAAAACTCAGACTTCTGCATGTTGTCTCTTTCCTGCAATAAAGAGAAACATGTTCCCAAAAGGTTACCAGAAGTGGAGATACATTCATCTGATATCTAAATATGCTTTTAAGTATAGTCTGCCTCAAACAATAATTGGAATTGTAAACACGTACAAGCATATGATCAAGGAACCGGAGAGCACGTAACCTAGCATCACTTCGAAAAAAACTAGATCCTGCAAAGTGAGAGTGAGTTCAAGGCAAAGATGTAAGTTACAAGCAAGGTTTAAAAAGTTGTCACAACAGATACGAAAACCGCATCAACATTAGGTCCACTTACCTGTGAAATCTATAGCTGTTGGTCTAAAGGACTCGTTCGTTGATAGCATCCTTTGCAAATCAGATACCAAGTCCGAGGGTATAGACGAGAAAGATTCATTTGTTATGTAGTTTAATGTGTTCATGTACTGTAAGAAATTTCAAGATAGCCATCATCAGCCATGGGAAATCCAAGAAGATATTACTACTGGATAACTAAATCATAAAGCATGAGACAAAACCTATCAAATGATAAGAAGAGCAAAACTATGGAGCTTGGGTGTTGTAGATTTACCATCTTGACATTGTTATTGCAGTCTAGCAACGGTTTCTTAGCAACTAAATGATAGGCAAGACATCCAAAACTAAAAATGTCCGACGAAGCTCCAGCTGAAGGATTTTTGCTGCGCATCAGTTCAGGTGCAGTGTAATTTAGGGACGGCTGGACCGGCAGCATTGAATCCTCAACGTCATATTCCTGCACGGTCCATATCAAACGTCAAAACCATCACATATATGAAGTTATCTCGCTCGTATAGATATATATACATCAGTCTAGTATTATTTCGGGTTTCAACTCACAGAATAGTGGAAAGATTGCATGTTATCCAAGTTCCCAGCCTGTGCTGCTGAAATAGCAAAACCAAACCCGGCAAGCTTCCAAGAACCAGACGAAGTAATGAGAACATTCTGAAACGGAAGTCACAACTCCACATGTTAAAGAAAGCTCATACATAAAACTACCAAGAAGAGAAGTAAGTATGGCTAAGAATTTTGAGAAAGTAACCTCTGGAGATATGGCTCGATGGATGAGATTGGCGTTATTGTGTAGAAAGTTCAATGTCTCTGAAATCTGGAGCAGACCATGCTTCACCTCTAACAAACTCATATCCTGCACAATCATAGCAAATAAACAAACAATCAGCCATTTTCTCAATCAATTTAAAACAGAATCCTTTCAGAGCTTCAAAGATCACTAAAAGCAGTTGAATCGAAGCCAATGTCAAAACTCAAATTGAGTTGAATCACATCAAACAGAGAGAACAAACAGAGGAAAGCTCACCATTGACTTCAGATCTTTCGGCACATTAGCCACATTCTCAACATTCCCAAGCGCATTAGCCACGGAGGCGAAAAGCGGCTCCGTAACTAAAGCCATAGCATTCTTATTCTCATCGAGCGCCTGCACCACGTGGACCACGCCGGGATGCCTCAGCCGCACCAGCTTCCCGGCATCAGCTCGAATCAGATCAAGGAACGCGTCTTCAGCAGCCTTAGACAGCCCAGCTCGGGCACGAGCCTCCGATAAAGCGCGCTTGTCAAGCATCCAGACGCAGACCGTCGGGTACTGCTGGGAGCGAGTGGCGTCACGCGCCTTGGCGGCGTACAGCTTCCAGGCGAGGCCAGGGCCAGCGGAGCCGATCTGATCGAGGAGCTCGTAGTCCTGAAGAGCCTTAGGCCCCGTGACTTCCTGTACTGTGGTGTGAACCGTCTTCTCGATCACTGCGGCGGTTCTAGCCAGAGCTTGAGTAAACGTCTTCATGTTAATCGACATTTCTGATTCCTCCCCGGAATTTGACCGTTAGCTCCCCAAAATGTTGTCGGCGACGACGGGAAAACCGGTGATACAACGAGAGATCTACGAGCAAAGCGACGACGATTGTACGTAAGTAACCGGAATCGAGGAGGAAGACGATGACGGATAGAAGCAGAAGGCTAGATCGAAGATCAGATCGTCTTCTTCCTCCCCACCTCTCTCTCTCTCCGGCAACTTTGTCTGTTTGATTGATTTTTTCCTTTTTTCCCTTAATTGCAATTTCCAACAGTCTTTTTTTTACATTTCTTCCCTTTAATAATTTTATTTATTTGCCAAACCAGTCCTTGTCCTTGTCTTGAGATGAAAGTAACATTAAAAAACTCTTCATCGTCGGCGATTTTACCAGTAGTCATTACAGGAGCAAGAAGAGTCTTTAAAATGGTGAAACCGATTCGAATCCCTCACAAGAATCTCTTTCCCCAAAAGCTTAGAAGCCAATTTCATGAAGTTATGACAATCAATACAGATCCTTATATTCTTCATTATCTGTATCAAATTCACACCACCACCATCACCAACACCATCATACGATCGTCTTCGTCCTTCCATCACCGCAAAAGCTAACGCCAGCTTCTCGCTGTGATGCAACAAATGCTCTTCCTTCTGTTCCTCCTCTTCAATATCCTGCAAAGCTGATCTCATCTCAGGAACATAACCAATCTCCTTCAACCGACCAATCAGCCTCTCCAGCTCCCTGTATATACCTTCCCTGTCTGCACGGCGTCGTCCTCCGGAGGCGAACTCATGAACCTTGTTACCAACCTCAGTCCAGCTCAAGCCTGGCTCTTTCCTCACTCTCCATCTCTCCATCTCCTTCCTACTCTTATCCGCTTCGCTAAAGCTACCTTCTGCGCTATAAATATTCGACATTTGTATGTAACTCAACGAGCTTGTAGGTTCCATCTCTCTCAGTTTATCCGCCGCTACTTTACCCAATTTCGTGTTACCATGTTTCCTACAAGATCCCAACAACGCACTCCAAACTACAGCGTCTGGTTCCATCGGCATCTGCTTGATAACCTCTTCCGCCTCGGTAAAACGCTCGGCTCTGCCTAACATGTCGACCACACAAGCGTAGTGATTCAGCTGAGGTTTCTCAAACATGGATCTGAATATTCTCATCCCTTCTTCCACTCGTCCAGCGTGGCTACAAGCAGAGAGAATCGCTATGTAAGTAGCTGAATCAGGCTTGATGTCCATTTTCTCAAAGACCGGTAAAATCGAGTCTACTTGTCCATGCAAAGAGTAAGCCTTTAACATCGAGTTCCACGACACGACATCACGCGAATCCATATCGTCAAACACACGCTTACACAAGTCAAGAGAGCCACATTTAGCATACGCATGGATCAACGAGTTGTTCAGCACAATGTCAGCACCAAAACCACCTTTGATCACTTGAGCGTGTATAGTCAAAGCGTGACGAGCTGTGACAAGTCCAGCACAAGCTTTTAGCACACTCGAGAAAGTGTACCAATCAGGGGTTAGCTTCTCGTGACGTAACTGACCAAAGAGAAGAATAGCTCTCTCTGGATCGTAAACCGCAAACGCTGTTATAATCCCAGTCCAAGCAACAATGTCTCTGCAGTGACTCATCTCCATGAAAAGCTTGTAGCATTCATTAAACTCTCCTAAAACCTCTGAGTAAACTTTAACCAATGCGGTAGCCACTTCAGTCTGAGTGATCAAACCGGATTTCACAGTCAGAGAATGAAGCTGATGACAACACTTCGAAACCTCATCAGAGCTTTTGTACAAAGCAGAACATACATTAAGCAACGTGGCTCGATCAAACCCCACTCCATCACTATGCATTCTCACAAACACACCAACGGCTTGTTTCCCGAGATTGCAGCATTGAAAAGCTGCAATCATTGAGTTCCAAGTAACCAGATTCTTAAACTCCATAGCTTCAAACACAGTCCAAGCCTCAAACGCAGCATCACGAGACCTACCGTACATAGAGATAAGCGCATTCGCCACATAAATCGAACAATGCAAGCCCAGTTTGAAAGCAAGTCCGTGTACCTGCTTGCCAGGCTCGTACCGGGACGAAGTCAACACGCTCGACAACGCAAACTCGTTAGGTAAACAGTGAGCTAACATAGCCGAGAAAACAAAAAACCCTTCTTGCTCGTTCCCTGCCTGCGCATAGCCAGTGATCAGCGAAGTCCACGAAACTACATTCCTCTCAGGCATTTTATCGAACACTTGGCGTGCGTTTTCGATATTCCCGCATTTCGCGTACATAGTGATGAGATGGTTCGCGAGGAAAATCTTCTGAGAGTAAGCATGAGGATGCGAGAGCATGTGGTGGTGTAAATCGATGCCGTGGCGGAGATTTCTTTGCTCTGCACATGCTTGGAACAGAGCAGCGTAAGCTTGCTGGGACTGAAGCTCGACCGGCGCGTTATAGAACAAGGAGAAAGCTCGTCGGAGATCACCGGACCTAGCTAAATTACGCAATCCTTGAACAAGTTCGTGTTTAGAAGCAGAGCTGAAGCGCCTCAAGCTCCCGAAAGAGATATGAGATACGCTTGTCATCATCGACGACGCTGCAGATTCATTTACCGAAACAGAGAACCAAAAATTGAGGAAGACGATCGGAGCTCCGGCTTACCGATGACGCTAAATATTCAGACTTGTCGAGGTTTAGTATTTTGACTTTAATTTCCATTTATATACTTTACCGGAATAAAACTTTCCTGTTTTAAATTTGTATTATAAATACACAATTTGGAGCACCAAAAACCCTAAATCTGTAGCGGCGACCTCAAGCTCTCTACCGACGCAAAGTTTCATCCTTTCTAGGTCAATTTCATAGTTCTCTTCTTCTTCTCCGGAGATTCGAAATCATGAAGGAAACAAACAAAGATCTACTGGAATTAGAGGACAAGATTCCATCATCTTCTTCTTCCTCTGCAATCGAATCGGTGCTTTTGCTCACTAAGGAGAAGAAGGAGAAGAAGAAGAAGAAGAGAGAGGAGGAGGCTCCATCAAAGCCAACGATTGCTCCAGTTCCCAAAAGCCAATTTCTCGACAAATTAAAAGGCTTCCTTGGGGTTATGGCGGAAGCGAACAAAAAGTTGGAGCAAGAAGTAGCAGAGGGAAACTCGGAAGCTTTTGATATCGAAGCACTTACGGGAGACGAATCTCAGGTTGTCGAGATGAATCTGATGGTCGGTGTCGCTGATCTCAACACTCCTGAAGCTGTCAAAGCGGCTGAAGCAGCTATTGCAGGCAATGGTCCTGCTGCTGAAAGTGGAGACTCAAGTAGCGATGATGAGAGTGATAGCGACGAAGAGGAGGAGAAGAGCTCTTTGGGTGATGAAGGTAGCAGAAAACGTACCAAGATCACTGAGCTTTCCTGAAAGATGTTTTTCTTTTCTCAATTTCAGTATTTTTTTCTTACTTTGTATGGAATAGTTGCCTAATGTTATCGTTGAGCTCAGTTTGTGATTGGGCAAAAACAAAAGCATAACTCTTGCAAATCATTAATTTACGTTTCATTTTCACAATTCTTGAAGAAAAGAGTTTCAAATTATCAAAAGAGTGTGTATGTGATTGGGTCTTAACTCTCTTCGTCAACAAGAACTGTGGAGCCGTAACAGATTCCAACGTCTACTAATGTTGCAGTCTCGTCATCGAATGCTGTAGGAAAAGGCGAGCCCTGCCATGGAAATATAGAACTGTTTCATTGATATGAACATGATAGAGAGATACAAAACGTGATTCCTTTCAAGTTAACATTGTAAAGATACCTCTTCCTGCAGAAATAATCTGGTCTTGATGGGCTTTAGCTTGAAAAAGTTATCACACAAGATCTTTAGCTTCCCCACCTGTCACAATCACCAATCGAAAGCTTCAGTAAAAAACTTCAAATTTACACAGTTGAGACATAAGAATTCTCAAGACAAAAGAAGAAGTAACCAACCGTGATACTGCCTGGTAACTTCTTTGTCAACGGAGGCTTTTCACCCATTGATGGACCAACGCATTTGAGAGTAATGGCTGCACATGTCATAGCGATATTATAAAAGCAAGCTTCTATGAAAAATAGCAATGAACCAACCATACATAAGAGACGCTTTTAAGAAACATACAGATTAGTCCAGATGCAATATTCTTAGGGCCGGTGTTCTCAGACGACGCTCTTTCATCCTCAATTCCGTGGAACTTCTTGAGTTCATAAAACCTGAAATACCACAAGCAAGGCACATCAACTTCTAGTGGCAGAAATGGGCCAAAATAGTAGTATCCTTTACTATATTGTTTGAAAATATTAGAATGAAGAAGATAAAGTGTCGCAAAATGTACCTAGGGTGGAGCCGATCAATGTCCTCAGACTTGTTTGACATCACCATTCGGACATACCTGCGATCATCAAAAATAAAACTAAGCATAATTTGCTGCTGAAATCAAACAACAAGATTGACCAAGAAAAAAGGTGAACTTTTCCCTGGCAAGAAAAGAAGAGTTGAAAATTTACCGGATCTCAGACTCCTTCTTCTCACGAGCTCTGACCTGAAAACAATGTTCCAATAGATTCAGATATCATAGACCAACGAAAGGTAGCAATATGTTGAACATTTTTTTCAGGCACTTGTAATACCTCGCTCCCATTCAGCACTTCTACTTTTGTCAACCGTGCAAGGAGAACAAATCTTGGGACGCCGCCTCTTGCAAGATCAGCTATTGGGTTATCCGAAAGCCTGATGTCCTATTATTTGAACAGGGAAGTCCATTAAAAGAAAACGATTTATAACGATCGACCTATCTTTCATAATGAACATCTAAAAACTACAGGGAACACTGAGAATGCCAGTGGGTAATTAATGCTTATGCCTCTACAACAAGGATCACTACTTATCTATTGAAGAATCACAGCACAAAAGATCAATACCACCAACTTAGGAAATGCGTTCAGTGCGTCTACCGAGGCCGGATCACCAATGTTGTTAGCTCCTGAAAAACGCAATGGGTGCGATAAATGGCCAAATTTTAAGAAAAGAGACATAACACTTGAAGAGCTTACCTAGAAGAAGACAACGCAGACTTGGAAATGCGTCGCTGCTTTCATTTGATGATTCATAGCTATTTGCAGAGTGGAAGATGCGTGACAGCTTATTCTTGTTCAGGTAAAGCTGCTCCAGGCTAAGAAATAACATTGATATTATCAACTTCTAACAAGCATCAACAGTGCATTGTTTATTATGGGGAGTATAAGGTGAAAATACTTATTACTGACCATGGAAGTTGAGATAGCTTTAATACTTCACTCCATTCGGAGATACAATTATCATCCAAGTTCAGAAGTCGCAGAGCCTTAAACGCTTCATCATCTGAGGATGACGTCGACTGCAAGAAGCAACCAAGGGAGGTTAGAAATGAGCCAGTAAAAAAGGCGTTCACAAGTTACAAACTAAAAAACCGTTTTCCAAGCATGTTTCGACTACATCCTACTTGGAGCAACTAAGCAAGCATTGGGACTACAGAATAAAACATTACCGTTATGGCAGAGATCATGTTCCCCATCAGATGCACCTCCTCAAGTCCAGGTAACAAACGCCTAAGATGTTCAACCTGCTCCAGTATGGTAAGAGCCATAAAAGTTTTTAAAAAACTGGTGATGGTGCTCAATTAGTTCAAGAGAAAAAAGTAACAAGAGCAGCTAAAGAATCATAGATCACCTGAGTCCAGCTCAGACCAGTATTATTCAGAACCAAGACACGGATATTTTTTAACTGCGGCAGAGAGGTAACATCACTTGACAAAGAATTGCAAGACAAATTAAGTGTTGTAAGTGCTGGTAACTGTTCACAGAGAGCACCAATTTCCTGAAAAGCCAGAATCAGTAAATTAAATCCAGGCTGCATAAGTTAATAGCAATGTCACAGAACAGCCAGAGAGCAATACCTCCCAGTCAGAAATCAAGTTTCCAGTTAAGTCCAACAGCTTCAAATCTGGAGCAGAGGAATCAAATAAAGCAAGTAACTTTAAAATACGTTCATCTAAAGGAACCGAGCAAGAGAGAGTAGACTGAATCTTACTTGGCAGAATAGAGCTCAAATCAGATGAAACTCCAAGAGAGCTAACACCAAGATAAGAAAGAGAGGCACTTGTGAGCTCCTCAAACCTACTTAACTTATCCTGAATCTTGTCTCCTCCCAAAAGCTGAATCGAAACACGTTTGTTCTTCGTAGAGAGAACATACATTTCGTCTATCAGCAAAAAAAGAAGGAGATTCATTATTCCAAAATCGCATAGCTGAAACTAGCTATGACACTATCTAACCAAAGAAATGTGCAGTGAACAAAAAACTTGAACAGTAGAGGAGAGAAAGAAACAAATGCAGACCTTCTTCGTCCTTAGTGGAAATCGTTCGGTATCTGAGCTCCAATGCTTCAAGCAGTGTGATACCATGGCTAAGCTTCTGTGGGCGAACAAATGATGCGGAGCTCTGGGAACGGCCGTTAAAGTAGAAGACGCCGTTAACGGAACCGTCATGCTTCCCATCTCCGTCTTGATCCCAATCAACGCCGATCCAGATTCCCGAATACCCCTCCACAGCTCCGACGTACTTCACGGTGCCCACTCGACGCGGATCGTTGAGCGAGTGGACTCGCTGCCCGATTTTAAAAGACTCGTTGCTTGAGTCACCATTCATTTCGCAAATTCGTCTGAAACTACCGAATGAACAACTTTCCGATAGAGTGAAATCCGGTAATCCACCGGAAAAATCAATCACACCTCTGATTAAGTACAATGTGTGAGTGAGTCTCTAACCTCTGAAACCTCACGGAGACGCACTGAGCGATAAACGGAGTCTCCGTTTTCCGTTCGAGTGACGAGTGTGTTCCTACAATATGGGCCTGAAATTTAATGGGCTTTATAAATCCATAGTAGAGGCAAAAGCCGCAAAACAATACATAGATGGGCTTCTTTCAACGTTTAGGCCTACAATGACAAAGAAGTCAAACGATTCTCACGCCGACGTTTACGAGTGGTCAAAGGATATATACGTCGTAGCTTTTTGGCCTTCTTCGGACGAAAGGAGTGTACTTTTGTTTGTTTTGTCCGAAAGGAGTGTACTAAAGTTTTGGATTATTAAACTAAATTTAAAAGACTTAAGTACACACCCAAAAATAGGAATCCAGCTGCAAATCACCCATTTGTATTTTAAGTCCTCAAAATAGGAATCCAGCTGCAATTCACAATTCACCACTACTTCTTTCACAGTCACTCATCTCTCTTTCTCTTGATGTTCATCATTTATACTATTAAAGACCCAATGAACACGTTTCATTGTTGAGAACCATACTTTTTTTCCTTAAACTAATTTAGCACCTAAATAAAATCTCTGAACACTAAGGTAAATGCTTTATATTTAATGAAAGCATACCTCTTTGTTTTATGCATACATCATTGTATGTTTTACTGAGGAGGAGAGTTTTTGAGCTAGATGCATTGTTTTCCTCTACGCGTAAGAACCATTTTAAGAGCTTACACTGAGGAAACCCAAATTACATTAAAACAAACAACAAAAGGGAAAGAACAAGAATCCTTCAGATTTGGATTCTTTTTTCGTCTCATTCTCTTATAGGTTGAGTTATTTTTACAAGTACGAATAATGTGATTACATTACATCGTTATCATATCAGAAATATATGACAAATGAAGTCGGTGGTCTAAAGAAACTTTTGTTTTTGTTTTCTCCTGGTTAACTATCTAAACTCACAGTCACACACGTTTGATAAAGTTAAACACATGTCTAAATAACATTAGTTCTTTTGTTTTGTCTGTTATTCAAACTCTCCTGTTTCTGTCTCCTTTCACCTTATCTTTTTATCAGCTGTCTTTCCCGACAAGAAAAACAAAAAACGGTTCTTCTTTTCAAACCAAGACCATTCCCTCCCTCCTACGCTCTTGTAAAAGCAAATAGTTATATGTGACTTTATCATATTTTTGTGATTAAACCTTAAACTTTAACTAAATATAAAAGCAGAAGAAACAAAACAAAGTCTTTAACATTTTTTTCAGAGCACAGGGTACGTAACAAACGCCAATTCGTCACACAAAAACGTGTCCAGTTAGTTGTTAATATAGCTACAGACTGAAAACGCCAAATTTTGATTTTCTAATTATAACTGACTCAACAATAACTCTTATGTTTTTGTATCAGTTAAAGTTTTTAAACACCCGGTGGTTAAGATGTTTTGGCCATTGTATATAATCGGTTGATATAGATCACAATATTTGTTACCGAGGACAAACTAGATCAAAGTGATTGATCATATCACATCCACAACGTTCATGTGTAGTGGATTTCTAAAGACTTTGGATTCCTAGTCTCGGTTTGTAATTTTATTTTTTTACCTTACAAAATTTACCATTGACTTTTTTTTTTTGAAATTGACTTTGGAAGAGCATGATCCAATGATCTTTGACATTTGTTTGAGGATAAATCCACTTTTCCACCAACCCTAAGCATCACAAAGTTATGGAACGGATCATCAAAAGGGTCCACAGATGATGCAAGAAAACCGCGTCTTGAATAGCAAAAACCACAAAATCCAAAATTCATCGCATTCTATTTGCTTCTCTCTACCACTTCCATTGCTTCACTACACTTCCTTTTCAGTTTTTAAAACAAAATCCAGATTCTGCCTCCTTCCTTTAGATTCTCATTATTATATCAAATTAATACTATTTAAGTGAATCTACTGTTCCTTTTAAAGATATAACACTTGTTAAGCCCACAAACAGCCTGTGAAGTTTCCTGGAAGCTGTGTTTTGCAGTTTTTTGGATATTATAAAAACGTGTACAGGATTTTATCTGCTGTTTAAGTTAGTAATCCACACCTATAAATAACTCCTAGGATTTGCTAACAATTCCAACATCATAATCCAACCACACAAATTTACAAACAGAGCAAACATTTTGACAAACACCTTAAATTTTGTGTGACTGTGTTCATGGCTGGTCATAGCAATTCCAATGCGAGAAATGATGGTCAAGCTGGTGTACCTTCTGCATACAGAGGAGTCCGGAAGAGGAAATGGGGCAAATGGGTGTCTGAAATCCGCGAACCGGGGACCAAGAACCGTATCTGGCTAGGCAGTTTCGAGACTCCTGAAATGGCTGCAACCGCATACGACGTTGCAGCATACCATTTCAGAGGACGAGAGGCTCGTCTCAACTTCCCTGAGCTAGTCAGCAGCCTGCCACGTCCTGTAGACTCTACCTCGGACAGCGTTCGCATGGCAGCTCATCAGGCAGCACTCTGCCTCAGAACCGAACCAGTAGAGTCAGCCATGATGCAAGTGGACACCTCAAGCACTATCCCCTCCAGCGTTAGTCCCCCGATGGTCAGACTCTCTCCGAGAGAGATTCAAGCGATCAACGAGTCGACTTTGGGATCTCCAACCATGTTGATGGATTCAACATATGACTCAATGGCGTTTGCAAATGATTTTGGGATGAATGTTTGGGACTCGTACCAGACTGACTCTCTTTGGGACCCATAACCTCAAACATCCATACTCATGAATGAGTTTCTACAGCTCAATTTTATAATATTAGGGTTTAGCTTCCAGAGTCTTCCACAAGGGGTTGTTGATTCTGACGTTATGGCAAAGCAATAAAGCTCATCTGAGTTTTGGAGGGAAGGGCACAGATGAGCTTGATGGGTCCCAAAATGGACCTCTTCACAAATATTTTATATTTGTTTTGTTAGCTTATAGATAGACACATAGCTTCTTATTTTATAAGCTATGTTAGAAAATTGTGAGGTGTGTCTTATTTATTTATTTATTTTTTCAATTGTCTGTTACCCCATAAGCTTATGTATTTGGTATTATGTTGTATGGATTCTTGATAATTATAAGATATTTTTTATTCTTACTAGACTTTTGTTTTCTCATCACTTTCTCACCTTAAAGAAACATTGACTAGTCTTAAGAAAAAGTCTACAATTTACACTGCAAGATTTTTTACAAGTTGATCAAGATTTCAATTTACTATGAAACAAGAGAATAGCATATAGTTGCAAGAAATCTTCAAGCAACTTACTTGATGCCTTTGAGAGAAGCAAAGAAGATATCTGAATCTGCAGTCACGTCTGTGTAGATGACGTGGAACTCATGATTTCAAGTCTTTGCGCCTCTTCAACACGACCAAACCGATTAAGAAGCTCAATAACCATTGAATAGTGATCCTCTGAAGGCTGCAATTTGTAAACCCGGTGCATCAAGTTGAAGAAGCGACAAGCTTCATCGACAAATCCGGCTTGACTGCAAATTGACAAAACTGCTGTAAAAGTGAAGGCGTTTGGAGTAAACCCTTTTGCTATCATTTCCTCAAAGCAGTTCACTGCCTCCCTTAAGCGTCCATTGCATCCATAGGCCTCTATAATGGCGGTCCATGTCAGAGAGCCCTTAACAGCAACATTATCAAAAGAGAAATCAGCACTTCTGAGATCTCCGCATTGTCCATACATCTTGATGATTTTTGAAGAAACAAAAGGGATCGACTCAAATTCCTTCTTCAGAATGTGCCCATGTATCTCCTTCCCCAGCTTTAACGCTTTGAGCTCACTGCAAACAGTCAAAACCCTCCCCATTGTAACAGAATCCGGCCTGTGTTTTGATAACAGCATCGATCTAAACACCTCGATCCCTCCTCTTAACTCACCCGTTTCCACATAGCAGTCAATCATAGCGGTCCATGCTTTCACATTCCTCTGCTCCAACCTCTCAAACAGTCTCACAGGATACTCGGAAACACCGCACTTCGAGTACATCACCATCAAGGAAGTGACTAATGAAACATTCGGCAAGAAGAGATTCTTTAAAGCATAACAATGTATCTCCTTCCCTTGCTTTATCGCCCTCAGCTCTGCACAAACAGGAAGAACAGTCGCAATCGTAACCACGTCTGGCTTAAACCCTTCCTGCTGCATCCAAACAATCGACCTCAAAGCTTGATCAAGTCTTCCGTTAGCTGCGTATCCAGACATCAACGCAGTCCAAGAAACAGCATTCCTCTGTTTTGAGCCATAGAACACACGTCTCCCCGAAACCATATCCTCACACTTGCAGTAAAAATCAATCAAACCAGAGTGAACAAACGGCTGCTCCAAGTAATTCTTCACCTTCAGAACATGCGCATGGACCTCCTTCCCCAGTTTCAGTGCCTTAACATCCCCAAGAACAGGAAGAATCGTTGTAAGTATAACAGAGTTTGGATACATTCCTTCTTGACTTATCATCTCTCTAAACAAACCCAATGCTTCCCATTGCCTTTTGTTATGAGCCAATCCAGCAATCATCGCTCCCCAAACAACTATATCCCTCTCTTCAATCTCATCAAAGACTCGCCGCGCAAGCCCAATCTTGCCACATTTGAAATACATATCAACAAGAGAAGTCTTGAGAAACACACTCTCAAGCAAACCGTTCTTGATCGCAAGAGCATGCGTCTTCAACCCCTGTCTCAAAGCAGAAGCCCCAGCGAAGCTCTTGAACACGTTAGAGAGACTATAAACATTCAAATCAACGCCAAGCTCTCTCATTTCCGTAAACGTGGAAAGCACATCTTGATACTTCCTCTTCCCCGATATCACAGTACCTCTAAGCAACGCGTTCCAAGAGTAAACGTTTGAGCTAGTACTTTCGTCGAACACCTTCTGTGCGTCTTTCACCGAACCACACGCGGTGTACATATGAACGAGCTTCGTCCCGAGAAACTCGTTGTTCTCTAACCCGTTGATGCGGATGTGGACGTGGACTTGCTTACCGTGAACTAACGATTTCCGGCGAACGCAGGCGGCTAAAAGGGCGGAGAAAGTCGTCGCATTTACCGGAATCCCTCTCTGTTCGAGATAGTCGAGGATCGTGAGAGCTTCTTCGAGTTTGTTCTGCCTCGCGAAATTCTGGATGTCTCTGTGGATACTGTATGGGTTTTTGGAGTGGAGCGGGAGAGAAGAAGGGAAAGCATCTCTCTCCCTGAAAGGTTTGGGTTTTTTGGCGGGAGGAGTCGAAGAAGGCCGCCTACTTCTGCCGGGTCTCGCCGGAAATTTCGCCGGTCCTCTTTTTGTAAAGGAACGTTGAGGACGGTGGTCGAGGCTCGCCGTCGCCGGAAGTGACGGTAGGTCTCGGACTCCGAGAGACGACACTACTTCCATGGTCACACTTCACACTACTTGATTAAGCTAAAAGTCGTTTGCATTTATAACTAAGAGAATTGCATCTTTAGTCCCTACAGTTTTGGCTTGATGCTAGTTTAAGACGTATATTTTTCAATTTGAGAATATAAAATCAAACGCAAATGAGCCACAAAAACGAAGACATCATCAAAGAAACGACGATGAGCTTCACTGCTTCTCTCGTCTCTTCTTTGGCGTCTCCGTCTCTCGTCCAGCTCCAAGATCTTCCTCATTCCTTCTCTCTCGGAAACAAAGTCGTCAAGCTAACAACCGTCGCTCGTTCACGGCGGCAACTGTCCGTAGCCTGTACTCCTGCAGCCAACGACGTTGTGCTCGAAACAGCTCCGACATCGGCGTCTGAGGTAGTATCCAGCTTCTACGCAGCCATTAACAGCCATGATTTATCCTCCGTTACAGACCTCATAGCTCAGGACTGCGTTTACGAGGATCTCGTCTTCTCATCCCCCTTTGTTGGCCGAACGGTGAACAAAATTCCGATGGAACCAATCTCTCTTCTTTTGTTGCTCAGAGATTTTCTTTCTCTAATCTTGATGAAACCATGACAGGCAATTCTAGATTTCTTCGGAAAGTTCATTGGTTCAACGAGTACTGATCTGCAATTCGTGATTGATGACATTTCCAAAGAGGACTCTTCAGCTGTTGGAGTCTCGTGGCATTTAGGTGAGCTTCCAAAAATCCAAACTTTGTAATTTGAACGCCTAGTTTGTTCTCAGGATAAGTTGTAAAACTGGAGACTTCTACAGAATGGAAAGGCAAGAACTTCCCATTTAGCAAAGGTTGCAGCTTTTACCGGCTTGAAGTAATCGACGGCAAGAGACAGATTGTGTAAGCAAACTCTTCTCTACACAACAGTGGACTGAATAACGCCAATTTAGTCGTACCGGGTGAAACATTTCTTCTCGGTTTTGTTTGCAGGTATGGAAGGGACTGCGTTGAGCCTGCAATCAAACCTGGAGAAACAGTTCTGGTAACATTAGCTACTATTTAATATCAATTGTGTGGATTTATGCAGATTTAACATCTTTTGCATTTGTGTTCAGGCTGCTATAAAGGGAGTTACCTGGTTGCTGCAGAAATTTCCTCAACTGGCTGACCAATTCTGAAGGAACTTTAAAAGCTCTTCCTTGAGTGAAGTGTATCAGCTTCCTTACGCAGCAAGCCCCACCATAGTCCAATTTGTGTTAATGGCTAGAAAGTTATACCACTCCCATATGTATCCACTCCAACTGGAAGTTGTCATGTGTATAGAAAACTAGTTTTCGCTCTGATTATATGCAGGCGTATATAGAATATGTCCTATTGACTAAATAAAGCTCCACGAGGATCAGCTTCATCCTACTTCTGGAAGAAGTTCTTCATCTGAACTTTGATCCTCATTGACAGCATAACAAGCAGTGTCTTTCATCAGCTGATTCAGTCCATCTAACAGAGGATAAGTTTCACATGATTGAGATGTGTCCCCCACCGAGAACAGTGTAAACCCAGAGCCTGTATCAATCCAAGCACTCCCAGGAACCTTTTTCACACCCAAATTCCTCATGAAAGTCCTTACTTCAGCAAGCTTATCCCAAGAACCAGCAGCTGCATACATATTTGCGATCAACACGTAGTGTCCCGGGTTGTCTGGCCTCATCTCCATGAGCTTTTCTGCTGCCCATTCACCAATATTTGTGTTCCCGTGGATGTGACAAGCGTTCAGTAGAGTAGCCCACATGGCACTGGACGGCACATAAGGCATCTTTTGAATTACATCTCGAGCTTCCCCAAGGAGACCTGCTCTACCATAGAGATCAACCATACAAGAAAAGTGTTGAAGACAAGGACTTATACCATACACACACTCCATCTCCACGAATAGCCGTTGGCCTTCATGAACTAACTTGGAATGACTGCAAGCTGATAGAACCGCAACCATGGTTATATGGTCAGGTTTCAAACCGGATCTGATCATCTCCTTGAACAGGGCCAAGGCAACTCGTCCTTCACCTTGACTTCCGTACCCATCTATCAAGGAAGTGTATGTTACTTCGTCTCTCTCGCTCATCAAATAAGCTACTCTCTTTGCAGCTACAATTTCTCCTGACTTTGCATAAACATCGACTAGAGAGTTCCACAGCATTGTACTGTCCTTGAAGCACTTGCGCCTGAGGATGTAGCAATGAAACTCTCTCCCATGTTGCAAATTTGCAACCCGAGCACAAAGAGGAAGAATGCTTGCGAGCGTGATAGAATTTGGCTGAAGGCCAGCAAGCAACATCTCCCTGAGAAGGTAAGAAGCTTCCTCTGATCTGTTCGCTTGCGCATAACCGGAGATGAGAGAGTTCCAAGTACTCAAACTGTTTTCCTCAATCTGTTGAAACACTGAAAAGGCGTGCCTAAGGTCATCGCATTTCGAGTACATAGTGATCAACGTGTTCCGAACATTCTCAATCCCGTCGTAAGAACTCCGAACTGCGAAACCGTGAATCTCTCTGCCTAACCGTCTTGCTCCTAAGAGCGAGCAAGCCTTCAAACCAATAATCACAGCCACAGGATCTAAGCTCGTGTGGAAACTCCTCATCCTAGAGACTAAACCCAAAGCTCCTACGTAGTTTCCTGTATGCAAACAACCTCCAGAAACAATGTTCCAAGTTCTCACATTGACTTCTACACCCGAAAACCACATTTTATCAAAAAGCTCAAACGCTTCTCTCCACATTCCTTCAGAGGCATAACAGCTTATCACTGCATTCCATGAAACAGCATCCCTTTCACACATCCTATCAAACAATCTCCGAGCATTACTCACATCTCCAAACCTTTTATACATAGAGATCAACGCATTGCACACATACAAGCTGCTCTTATAAGAGCTAACCTCAATAGATCCATGAACCACCTTTCCAGAGGCAAAGTCAAGTGTCTCACCACAAGCCTTAAGAACAGACGGATAAGTGAAAGCATCAGGTCTAATTCCTTTACTTACCATTCGCTTGTAAGCAGAAACAGCCTCCTCAAAAAGCTCGTTCTTTGCATACGAGCCAATGAGCACATTCCAAGGTAAAGGATGAAAAATGCCAGAGTTCTCATTAATCGATAGAGCTTCACTGTGGAGATCAAAGGCAGAGTAAAAAGTCACCAGCTTTGGGACTAAAGCGGAGTGATACTCCACACCAGAGGAGATACAGTGAGCGTGAATCTGCAGCCCTGGGAGAAACGCACGAACATCGACGCAGGCTGATAAAAGAGAAGCTGCGGATTCCAAAGTGTTGTCACCCGAAACGGTAGAAGAGGATTGAAGACGAAGAAGTGAAAAGGTTTTGAAAGCGTCATGCAAATGACCGTGGCTGGCGAAATGTCCGAGAGATTTGAAAAGACTCTCAATCAGCATTGTTTCATCTTCGGTTTTGTGAGTTCTTGGGACGGCACTGAGTGGATGTTTCCATGATTTGGGAATAAACTTGACAATCTCGGATATGGTGAGACCTCCAGGAAATTGACGGGAAGGTGTATACCACATGCATCAACCTCATACGCATATCACAGTGGAAGAGTTAGACTACGAAGTGAGAAAATTTCAGTGAGGCAAAGCATCGAACAGTTGGTGCGCTGAACAATGCCGTAGACACCATTGAGCTTGAGCTTATATCCAAACCAGAATCGAAGGTATGATGGAGAATTATGGGAAGAAAGATAAGAGAAAGAGAGGTTGAAACAGAGGAAGCAAAGAATCGCAGAAAATAACGTCTCGGGTCACTCGAGACTCCGAAGAAGAAGACTCCATGGCGAAATTTGCTTGTTCGCTACTCAACAAGCATATTGGGTCAAAAAAAATCGGAATATATGTATGGGCCTTTCTTTACTTAACGGCCCATATAAGCCCAAAAAGCTACGATTTTATTTTCTTGTTGACATTTCAAATATTTGAAAAATGAAAATATCTGAGGAAAACGAGCATGTTGGCAAAGTAGAGGCCCGTATATGAAAATTGTGGCTATTATCCTTCTTCTTTCTCGTTATCCACTTCCCTCTTCCTTTGAGTGGACAAATGCGTTTCCTCTATTCTCTAACGATCTCTCTCACTCGCGTCCATGGCGACCACCGCATCTTCGTCTCTCCCACGTAACTACTCCTTCACTCCTCATCGGCCTCCTCCCTCTTCCATCCGCGGATCGCCGGTAGCTGCAACGCTTCCGCGCTACCTCCGCCGCGACCGTCGGTTGGCTCTCACTTACCGATTGGAACACAATTCGAACCGGAGGAGCAGCGGAAACGTCAGATGCGAGGCGACGGAGGTATCTTCTTCTTCTTCTTCGTCTGCTACTTCCCCTGGACGGAACTGGGTGCCGGTTGTGCCGTTATCCGCGCTTCCGAAAGGTGAACGCCGAGTGATTATTCAAGACGATGAGACGATTTTGCTTCTCTGGTATAAGAACGATGTTTTCGCGATCGAGAATCGTTCTCCGGCGGAAGGAGCTTACAGCGAAGGACTTCTCAATGCTAAGCTCACTCAGGTAGTCAGATTTCTCCGTCTACTACTTACTCTGTTGGAATTTAAGCTTTCTTCGTAGTTGGAATTTATACGGTTGCGCATTTGCCTAATTGATGAGAAATTTTCGAGTATACACAAGGTGTTTGTGAAAATGCTTGACCGAGTAAAGTGACGTCGTTTTATGAAATAGGCTTTGTGTTATTTGATTCTTCAAGGAGAAATTTAGGTTAACCTTACTGTGAAATGTAGCTAATCTGCATGGAATGAGAAATGCTTTGTAAGATTGTTTGGATATGTTAACTTCTTTGCTCGCAATTCTATTGGTTTCTCTAACAATGAGTGATCTTCGTTTTTGGCATTTGCAACAGGATGGTTGCATTGTGTGCCCATCAACGGATAGTACATTTGATCTAAGAACCGGAGAGATCCGGGAATGGTACCCGAAAAACCCGGTTTTGAGAGTCTTGACACCTGCACTGAGGAAACTATTTGTATACCCGGTCAAGTTTGATGAAGAGAACATCTACATCAGCATTAGAGACACCGGGAAGGCCGAGGCAGCTGCTGAGATCGTCTTCAGTGGGAAAGCTCAGCCTGGACTCACAGCAACTAATGTCAATGTAGACGAGGTAAAAACAAAAAACAAAAAAACAAAAATAGGTCTCAAAATGTACATTTGTTCACTAATCATGCCGAGAGTGATGATGATAAATTTGTGAAATTCAGGTGAGAATGATTGTGGACGAGGGCTCTCAAGGATTTGGATTTTCGAAGAAGAACGAAGTGATAAACGGGAAAGCGGCAGTGATAGGGTTCTTGCTGCTGTTGGATTTTGAGCTGTTGACAGGTAAAGGTCTATTGAAAGGGACAGGGTTCTTGGACTTCCTCTACTCTGCTTCAGATGCTTTCAAGTAGAGAGAAATATATATGTAAAGATATATTTGATCTGGTTTTGTTTTGCCTCTTTGTGGAAGCATTACCTGAGAAACAAAAATACTTTTCAGTAACAACTCACACCATTGTCTTGGTATATAGAGATGGCTATTCTGTATTTGTTTGTGTGTTTACCTCTTATACGAGATATTCTTTGTTCCTGAGTTAAAGTAATAATCTTCAAGCTTTCTTACTGTTTTTTACTTAACAACACTTCAATATTTGATTGGTTTCATCAGTACCAATGCCAGAGTATTGGACTATAGACTTCATATCTCACACTTGGGTTTATGATGAGTGTTCATTTAGCGAACCTAGTTTTTTGTTTCAATAAATCTGAAATAATGGTGCATAGGTATATATGCTTATGCGATAGTATATGCTTTTTTCTCAAGTAATAAATATGGGAATTGTGATCAACTATGGCGTGAAGCGAACTCGAATATTGAAAGAAGAAAGGGAAGGTCTTTGTAGGACAGTGAAGGTGGAGAGTTGATTGCATTCAAATTGGGTTGCTCCAAAGTGAGTGAGATTCCGTGTGAGGAATCTTAATTCTTACGTTGTGTTTCATTTGTGTACCAGTAACTAAACAGACCACAAACCACAAATCCCATATCCCTTTTTCATTTTCAGTGTGCAAATAGAGACAAGACAAGAAAATACTTTTTGTCTTTAGTCAAGCACAAAACGGCCAAGAAGAACCCACGTTTAAAGACTGTTCGATGACGTCATGCCTGATCAAATGTAACACAAACCACACAAAAAAATATATACTAAAAAACATAAGAGGCACTAGGCAAGTCTCATGTTTTCTTTCAAGTTGCACCACGTGATCTCGTGATGAACTATTTCTGTAAGATAATCATACTTTGCATCTAGTCGTATTGATGTATGTCATCTCAGCTGATATGACCCTCATAGTCACATTGCAGGTTGCATATAGTTTTTTTATTTACTACTTAATTATACACATTTGAAATTCATAAGTTTCTAATGTTTTATAATGTGTAAAGTTGTATAATTCCTCCACATTTTATACCCATGCACCATTATTTCGGTTCTGCGAAAAAGTTATAGAGAAAACTAGTCAATCGTCCGTCAAGAAGATTTAATCAACCACGGATCATATATGTCGAATCATCCATCTTTATCCACCACATGTTTGTTTGTATCATGTTGAAACTTTCATCTGTTTATCTAAAATGGTATCAAGTTGATGTAAACGTTACCAAGTTGAAACCTGAATCGGATCATCCTAGAAAAAGAAAACATCAACTATTGCTAGCCACATGTCCATATCACATATTCTCCTGGTCTTACTTTGACCACTATTAATTTTTTTCATCTAACTCAATTTATTAAATATGTATAGAATCATGTCCTACTATTTTATTGCCATCCGAAGTCTATGACTTTTTTTCTCCTCCAACGTATTTATATTCAACACTTAATTTCTCTCAAGATCATCAACTCAACATGGATTCTAGAGACGCCGGAGAATCATATCAGAGCAAGTTCAAAGGTATCCGACGCCGGAAATGGGGAAAATGGGTTTCAGAGATTAGGGTTCCGGGAACTCGCCAACGCCTCTGGTTAGGTTCTTTCTCCACTCCCGAAGGCGCCGCCGTAGCCCATGACGTTGCTTTTTACTGCTTGCACCGCCCTTCTTCACTCAACGACGAAGCTTTTAACTTCCCTCACTTGCTCCCACCTTCCCTCGCCTCCAACACTTCTCCTAAGTCCATCCAAAAAGCTGCCTCCGACGCCGGCATGGCCGTAGATGCGGGATACAACGTTAACAACGACGGCGGGAGCGGTGGCGGCGAAGATAGATCTTCAACCGCGTACAGGGAGGAAGACAGCGAACGGGAAGCGTTGAGCATCTCCGTTTACGATTATTTGGAAGAAGATCCCGTATGATGATCTATTTATTTATGCAAGCATTTTACTAAGCAATGTGAATAAGACCATTTTTTAATTTTTTAAGCGTCACGAAGCTTTCGTTTTCAGGCTTCTTTCCTTATATATGATGTATGAAAACTATAATTTATACATGAAAACGGTTGTCTCCACCAGTTCATCAGTTGGAAGTTTTTTGTTCAAGTTACATCCGAGACTGAGTTATTGATTTATGTTTAAACATATAGGAATGATTTACAGTTTCTAGGGTTATTATGGAGCCAAATCCGAAAAATTTCAATGAAAATGGAGATATAAGATATTAGGATATATCAATGTGATACATCGTAAGATTAGGTTTAGACTTTTGAAAAGAGTATTTATCTATTTTTTCTTTATTTTTGTAGATTTATCATTTATCGAGAGTTCGAGAAAATTAAAATGACTTAGCAGCTTAGACAGTTTTACACCACGGATTCTTTGATAACAATAAAATTCTTGATTTTTGGTCCATAGTCTTCTCACTAGTCTTTGATAGTATCATTATCATATTGGGACTTAATCATCCTTTCAAAATAACGGTGTCATCATGATACCTGAAAGCTGAAATCCAAGTTACTCATACACACATGACACATATTAACCAATCATGACAAATTTATGACATTATAATGCTTTGTTTGTCAAAGTAACGGATAAGGCAGGTAAATAGATAAAGTGATCTTTCAAAAAAATATTTCTTATGCAACGAACTTCATACACAACCATTCACAAATCAGAAGGCTGCGCCGGCATCCCTTGAAGAGTCTTGCAGACTTGCACCATGTGATATATATTTCATTGGACTTGGTCATTTTATGTTGACACCAGAAAAAAAAGTAGTAGGGCTTTATAGATGAAATGGGCCCATTGAACGAAAGCAATGAGACCCAAATACGACCGGAAGAAACAAAAATCAGGAGTTGACCATTCCTCCTCATTATTTGAATCTAGAAGGAAACAAAAATACATACAAAGAGTGGCACGCACGTTCCACTTTTCTATCACAACAAACACACAAAAACGTGAGAAAGACAACAACAACAAAAAATGAAAGACTTTGGTCGCCGACCATATCACCTTAGTAGAGAAATAGATAAACCAAATCGGCAAAAAGCTTAATGCTTGTTTGTTTGTAAATGGGTTGTATTTGCGCCACCGCTCGTTCTCCAAACGCCGCCGTTGCAAACAACGAGCTATTAGACTCCAGCAAATCCATCCTTCAGCTAATCCCTCATCCACCGTCATCATCATCGTCTTCATCCAAAAAGGAAGGATCTTTCACGCGTCCCACTCCTGCAACTTCCATCACCGTCGTGGCTAATGGTTATCCAGTGGTTCGCCGTCCCTCCACGTCATCTTCATCTGATCGAAACAGCACCAAACAAGTGGTTATTGTGGGAGCTCCCAGCAGAAGAGTCACGGCAATACCAGTGGTGCAGCCAACGCAGCAGCCACCGCGTTTGATTAGCAATAAAACAGAACGCACCACCGCAGAATGGCCGTCTTGGTTAACTTCTGTCGCCGGAGAAGCCATCAAAGGATGGTTTCCTCGCTGTGCAGACTCATATGAGAAGTTAGACAAAGTTAGTTTGATCATTCAATTAAAGAAATCATCTTTTTTGCTCTCTGAATCTTTAAGAAGTGAAATAGTAATTTTATGTTATGTGTATTGTTATAGATTGGACAGGGGACATACAGCAGCGTGTACAAAGCAAGAGACTTGGAAACAGGGAAGATCGTGGCAATGAAGAAGGTTCGGTTTGTGAATATGGATCCAGAGAGTGTCCGGTTTATGGCCAGAGAGATTCTCATTCTCCGCAAACTTGACCACCCTAATGTCATGAAGCTTGAAGGTCTAGTCACCTCTAGACTCTCAGGTAGTCTCTACCTTGTCTTTGAGTACATGGAACACGATCTTGCTGGTCTTGCCGCAACTCCTGGCATCAAATTCTCTGAAACTCAGGTACATATTCACACATTCTGTTTTTTCCTAAAGTTTGGAACTTTCAAGAGTCTGACTTGGTTTTTCAGATAAAGTGCTATATGCAGCAACTGTTCCGTGGGCTTGAACACTGCCACAGAAGAGGAATACTCCACCGTGACATTAAAGGATCAAATCTCTTGATTAACAACGAAGGTGTTCTCAAGATTGGTGACTTCGGTTTGGCTAACTTCTACCGAGGTGATAGAGATCTTCAGCTGACTAGCCGCGTTGTAACCTTATGGTACAGAGCGCCTGAGCTGTTGCTCGGTGCCACTGAGTATGGACCAGCGATAGACCTGTGGAGCGCCGGTTGCATTCTCACTGAGCTCTTTGCCGGAAAACCTATCATGCCAGGACGCACCGAAGTGGAGCAAATGCACAAGATCTTTAAGCTATGTGGTTCGCCTTCAGAAGACTACTGGAGAAGAGCAACACTGCCACTAGCAACAAGCTTTAAACCGAGTCATCCTTACAAGCCTGTTCTTGCTGAGACCTTTAGTCATTTCCCTGCATCAGCTCTGTCTCTCATCAATAAGCTACTTGCCATAGAGCCTGAGAAGCGTGGATCAGCTGCTTCTGCCCTAAGAAGCGAAGTAATCTTATCATACTTAAACAGAAATTTATGTTTCTTTATCAAATGCATTCTCATGATTAGTTTAAAAACTTTCTTCTCTTCAGTTCTTCACAACGGAGCCAATCCCAGCTAATCCATCAAACTTACCAAGATACCCACCAAGCAAGGAGCTTGACGCTAAGCTACGCAACGAGGAAGCAAGAAAGTAAGAATCTTCAATTCACTGTTCTTTCTCTCTTGACTCGTGAGGGTCTTTTCTTATGTAGTTCTTGGTTTGCAGACTAAGAGCAGAAGATAACAACAAGAGAAGAGGAGGAGAAACCGTGACAAGAGGACGGCCAAAAGATCTCAAAACTGCACAGACGCCTGAGTTTATGGCAGCAGGGCAGTCCAAAGTCACTTGCATCAGCCATAAGTTCAAAACAGACGAGGAAGGTGGGACCGGGTTTAGGATCGAACCACCGAGAAGAGGGATCCAGCAGAATGGTCATGCTTCTTCAATGGTTCACCCAAGTGTTGCTGATACGGAATGGAACAGAGGTGGAAGCATCAAGAGACAACAAACTAATCAGCCTAGGATATCACAAACAGGAGACTTGCCTGGTGGTTCTTATAGGAGAGACTCCAACAGAGACTACTCTACTGTAAGCATCTTTTTTATCTCCTCTTGTTATGCACCGTAACCTTTTGGTATGTGATTGTTGTATTGGGGTGTGTGTTTAAGGGAAATGCACCAAGGAAGAACAGAATCCATTACTCAGGACCATTGATGCCACCTGGTGGGAATCTTGAAGATTTGCTAAAAGAGCACGAGAAGCAGATACAACAAGCTGTACGCAAAGCCCGTGTCGAAAAGTCTGCTTCCAAGAAGAACCAAACAGGACAGCTGCAGCAGCGTTACACAGGAAGAAATGCTCGGTAGCTTAAAAGAAGAAAAGGAACGAGAAAAAAGTGAAAGTTTAAAACACCATAGCACTTGTTTGGACTTTTGAGGTTTCATCAAGCCATAATAGAAAAACTTATAAGCGTTTTTGTTTCTGCTCTCTTCAGTGCTTGAAGCCAAAGGATTGATGAAATGTATAGTCAAGTTTGTTCTCTTTAGGCCAACGAGAATGACCATACACTATAATGTCAAAACTTCCCTTTTGTACATACACAAAGGCCTCTATTGAGTTGAGTCTCAATCAAACATGTATTTGCAAGTGAAGCAAAAACCAAATCCAAATTTAGTAGATTTAGCTAAAGATGTTATAATTTTGTTGAAATGTTCTTATTTGAAATGGTTATACTATATACTTGCCTTTCTTGTTCATTTTCAAAGCTGTAGAGATATACATATCTTTAACAAACATAAAAAAATTAACATTAATTTGTTATACAGTTTGTAGTCTTTTTTATGTTTAAAAAAAAAAAAATTGTGGGAAAGCTGAATCATCGGGACAAGTAAGGCTAGAAATGTGAAAGTAAGGAAATAGGAAGAGACCAGAGTCGTTGGATTAGCGAGTGAAATTTTAAAGTTAAGAGATTAACCGCAGACTCGTTCAAAAGACCATCCTCACTTTCCTAAGATCCAAGTAATCAAATGCATGTCTTTCCACCTTAGTTACCTCTCTATTTAAACAACTCTTCACTTTCTTAATCTTCATTAATCAGTAAATTACTCCTTTCTTCTTTTCTTTTTTTTTGTTCTATACATATTTTGTACTAAAAACAAAAATACATTACCCTGTATTTTACAATTTTTTTGTGGAATATTAAAGAAAACACAAGACAAGAATGACATACCAAAATTCTTCACCGGTAATAATAGGCTTTTCTCTAAGTACATATCACACAAATAATATAGTTTCATTCGTCAATGAGACTCCAACATTTTAGCCTAGTCTGTCTCACTTTGTTTCATTTTTCTATTGTTGGTGCTCTTTAAATAGATTTTAACTGTCATTTAAGATTTTAGCGATGAACTATAAATCAGTCACACTATGATTAAAAAATCTTGTAACAACGAGATATGGTAAACTCAACAGTTTTTTCTTTTGACATTTTACATCATCTATAAATTAACCATTACCAAATCTTGATCAGGATGATGAGGAGAACAAAGGAAGAGCAACGGATAACAATACTCACCGGCAAATGGATTACAACGATTGGTTACCAGTGACAGCGTCTAGAGAGGCCAAGTGGTATTACTCCGCCTTCCACAATGTCACGGCCATGGTCGGCGCCGGAGTTCTCGGCCTCCCTTTCGCCATGTCACAACTTGGCTGGTAAGTTTTACATAAAAAAAATGTTTAGTCTTCTCCACAGTAATCAAAGATTAATTACTTATGATTATGATTAAACAGGGGACCTGGACTAGTTGCAATAATGCTATCATGGGCTATAACGTTCTATTCGTTGTGGCAAATGGTTGAGTTACACGAAGCCGTTCCCGGTAAACGGTTAGACCGTTACCCTGAGCTAGGCCAAGAAGCGTTCGGACCAAGACTAGGTTACTGGATCGTCTTGCCGCAACAGCTTCTTGTCCAGATCGCTTCCGACATTGTCTACAACGTGACCGGAGGCAAATCTTTCAAGAAATTCATCGAGCTTCTCTGGCCTAATCTCCACCATATCCGTCAGACTTATTACATCCTCGGATTCGCCGCGATCCAAGTCGTTCTCTCTCAATCTCCTGATTTCAACTCTATCAAAGTCGTCTCTCTCCTCGCTGCTCTCATGTCTTTCTTGTATTGTCACCAAACCCTAACCCTAAAAACAAAAACAAAAACAAAAATCCTCTGTTTTTTTTATGATCATTTTTTCTAAGTATTTGAACTTTTGTTGCAGTTATTCAATGATAGCTTCCGTAGCGTCAATAGTGAAAGGAACGCAGCACCGTCCATCAGAATACGGAGTAAGAGGAGACACGATGGCTGCAATGGTCTTCGATGCGTTTAACGGCATTGGAACCATAGCGTTTGCGTTTGCAGGACACAGTGTGGTCCTTGAGATACAAGCTACTATACCTTCAACACCTGAAGTGCCTTCCAAGAAACCAATGTGGAAAGGAGTTGTGGTCGCTTACTTAATCGTCATCGTTTGTTACCTTTGTGTGGCGATCTCAGGTTTCTGGGCTTTTGGTGATCTTGTTGAGGATGATGTTCTCATTTCCCTTGAGAGACCTGCTTGGCTTATAGCTGCTGCTAATCTCATGGTCTTTATCCATGTCATTGGAAGTTATCAGGTCTTGTTTTTTTCTTTTTCTTGCTCAGTTTCTTTTTTGTTAAAATGTTACTGATGATCGATCATCTCTTGACAGGTTTTCGCAATGTCGGTGTTTGACACGATCGAGTCGTATTTGGTGAAAAACCTGAAATTTACTCCTTCCACAACACTGCGTTTAGCTGCACGTAGCACATACGTTGGTTAGTTCTCATTTATCTTTTTTTCTTCTCACTAATTTCATGGAGAAAAATGGAAACTGAGATATTTGGGTTTGTGCAGCATTGGTATGTCTTATAGCAGTTTGTATCCCCTTTTTCGGAGGTCTTTTAGGGTTCTTCGGTGGCCTCGTCTTCTCATCAACCTCTTATTTCGTAAGTCACACTCTACCTGAAAAAAAAAAAAAAAAAAAATAGCACATCTCTGGTTCTTAGGCATATTATATATATTTGTAACCTATGTATTTTGCAGTTGCCTTGCATTATATGGTTGATCATGAAACGACCAAAACGATGGAGCTTCCATTGGTGTGCCTCTTGGGTTAGTTTTTCTTTCTTGATGATTCCACAAGTCTTAGTCACTACCTAATTAAACTTAATTAACTCTCTAGTCTCTTGTTTAAACTACAGATAGCAATAGTCATTGGAGTCTTGATAGCAATTTTTGCGCCCATTGGAGGAATGAGACACATTATCCTTTCAGCAAAAAGCTACAAGCTCTTCTCATAGACTTAAAAAGCTAAAGGCAGCAACAACCATCACAGCAACTTATAAAAGTTTTTACATCTTTCTTTAACTTAGCCGTCTAGTTGGGAATATACAGTTAGATATTTGATTTTGTGTCTTATCAAGAACTGCCTTCCGAATTGCTTAAGGATATCGGTGAAGGCTCTACGCGCTTTGGCCTACACTTCATGTAAAATCACCTACAGAGGAAAATACAATATGATATGTGTCAACCGTGGGATATGAACTTGGAGATTTTTTTTGTTTCTTTTTAAGTCTTACAGATTTTTTTACTTCAGGTAAAAGCCTAGAATTCAAAGCTTTTGGTTTTGGATTGTAATAAACATCTAAATAATGAGATTGACTTACTGTTTCTCTGTGTTGAGTTTGTATCAAATGCCTAATTCACGGATCTTGAAAACGTACTAGGCAATAATCCTTTGAAAGATGTAAAACAGAGGCAAATTAGATTAAGTACTATTGCGATTTATAATGGAGGAAAGAAAAATAGTATTTCTTCCGGTTCATATTAGTTGTCGTTTTAAGAAAATGTATCTACAATGTATTTCGATGTATTAAACTCAAAACACATCCACATACATCCAAATATATTTTGAGTGAATTTGGTAACTAGCCTAATTTTGGGCTTTATTTAGGTGAGTGACAATTCCTAAAATGGCTATTAGTAAAGAGACAAAGGGTACCGTAAATAGTAGTTTTTTTGGGGTGAATATGCATTGTATGCAGAGTGGGGAAAATTTGAAAGAGAAGAGAAGATTTCTGATAATTAATTGCATTGAATGATATTTTAAATACTCTTATTCCTCTCTTATTTTTGCTTTTCACGCCTTCTTTTTTTCTCTCGACTACAAGTCTACAACATCTTCTTTATTTTTCAGTTTTGCACAAGTAACACAGATTCCAAACTCAGATTATGTGATTAACCATGTATATCAGATCTAATAATAACGAAACAACCACAAATCTCTTTATAAAAAAAAAACAACCACAAATCTGTATCAAATCGGTTTGTCTCAGATCCAAAAACAATTTATGGATAAATATGTGTGAGGCTTATTGTAAAAAATTATAACACGAGATATATATATATATATTATAATTTACTAAAAACATAGATTTTAAATGGCTATTCATGACTGACTAAATTTACCAAAACATATATGTTCACGGGTAAATATATTATCATATAAGTATATAGATAATCGTATCATAAAATATCAAAACATAAACATATATAGACAACCACATAAACATATAGAGAATCATATAAAAGAATATGGACAACCACATAAACATATAGAGAACCATATAAAAGAATAGCAAACTATATATAATGTTTGAAACTAAAAGAAAATGTCATATAGATACGTAGAGCACCATATCAAAATATAACAAGATATAAACATATGTTGAGAACTATATCATTTTCATATAAATATATAGATTGTCATATAAATTTATAGACAAGCATATCAAAAAATGTCAAATTATATACATATATTGACAATTAGATATATTGTCATAAGTCATAACACAATTATATCAAACTATTATGCATTCGTATACAGCTAAAAACATTGTCATATAAAAGTTTGTAAACAACTATATCAACATATAGATGTTATTTATTTTCTTAGTACTTTATAAGTAAATATAACTCGTTATAACAATATTTGTCATGCTAAACATCTAACAACAATTTTAAAATTTGGTTTTCAATAAATTACATTGTATAACGTAATTCTCATAGATTTGTCCATAATGGTTTATGGAATGGAGCAATAAGTCAACTGATTTTGAAATTCTGTTTTTTGTGTTATTTGGCTCAGTTTAGAAATGGTTAATTTGATCGAGTTTGTATCGATTGTAAAAGAGAAGAAGAAGAAGAAGAAGAGAGAGAGAGAGAGAGAGAGAGAGAGAGAGAGATGATCGAGGAAGAAGAAGAAGAAGAAAAGAGATAGAAACTTAAAATAGAAAAGTTGTGCATTGAATTTTTTATTTAATGCAATTGAACAAAAATATTTCTCTTTTTTCTTGCATGCAAACTCGCGTGGGGTTAAAGTGGGTACACAGTGGAGCAAAATATTTTCCTGATTGAAGTCACGAAACTCTATATATTGAAAATTTAATAACGTCACTTCCTATGGCTACTGAGTGCAAATTCTCATATATTTTCTCAAAACTACAATTAATATGAAACTGAGGGAGTATTTTAACTTGTAACTGCCTCACACACACACAAAATTACTTGTAATTGCCTCACACACACAAAGTTACTTGTAACTGCTACATTACTCTTCAACTTTTGACAGTTGGTCCAATAAGGTAATGACACCATAGCAAATAGTTAAATACAAAATTGTTATCGTTAATATCGACCAATCAATGTTTGAGACACACCAATAATCAAACCACACCACATGGAAAAAAACTCAAAAAGCCCAAAAGAAGGAAAACAAATTAAAAATGTTTGTCTCTTTGTCCCCTTAAGAACACAAGAAAAACCTTCCTCTGCAGTAAATTGTAACGCTTCTCACTTTGAGCAAACAAGAATTAACACAATCTCCTTCTCTCCACCACAATGACGACGACTAATCGTCTCCCGTTTCCGATTAACCTGAAACTCATTCTCTCTAGCTTCGCCTCTCTCGTTGTAATCACTCTCTTCTTCATCACCAGAACCGATTTCTCACCGTCTTCATTTCAGCCGACGCCGGACAACACTCTCCGGATCTCCACTTCCTCCACCGGAAGTAAATCACAGGGAACAGAATCCGTTAACTGCGGTAAGATCCCTCCTTCCCTCGCCGACGCTCTGGTCCACTACGCCGCCTCCAATGTCACTCCTCAGCAAACACTCTCTGAAATCTCCGTCACCAAGAAGGTAACAAAACAATCTATAACTACCTACTAATTGAAAATTGTGTTAATTGACCAAAATCAAGAACTCAAATGTTTGCCAAATAAAAAATCAAGAATTCAATTGTTTACTAAAAAAAAAAAAAAAATCAAGAACTCAATTGGTCGACTAGAGTCTGGAAAAATAAATATCTTGAGCAAATTAAATGATAAGAACATGTAATTTAATGATTTGTATAAGTGTCATAAGTTTGTGATTATGTAGGCCATAGTATACGTGTGTGACACGTTAGTATGATCAAATCAAATTGTATCAGGTGTTAGAGAAGAAATCGCCGTGCAATTTTCTGGTGTTTGGTCTAGGCCACGACAGCTTGATGTGGGCGTCGTTAAACCACGGTGGAAGAACAATTTTCTTAGAAGAGGACGAGTCATGGATCCGTCAAATATCCGAGAAATTTCCGTCTCTGGAGTCGTACCACGTCCGGTACGAGACTAAGGTAAAAGACGCGGCGGCTCTGATGGCGGCGACGAGAGACAGAGAAGAGTGCCGTCTTGTGTCGACGGATCTTAGGGTTTCTAAGTGCGTGCTGGCGCTGAAGATCTTACCGGAGATGGTTTACGAGACAGAGTGGGATTTAATCATGGTGGATGCTCCTACGGGGTTTCACGACGAAGCTCCGGGGAGGATGTCGGCGATATATACCGCGGGGATGATCGCGAGGAGACGGGGGAAAGGAGAGACGACGGCTGTTTTTGTGCACGATGTGGATAGGAAGGTGGAAGATGAGTTCTCTATGGCGTTTCTATGCAAAGATTACTTGACGGAGCAAGAGGGACGGCTCCGCCATTTCACGGTGCCTAGTCACCGGAACCAGGATCTCTCCGGCGGAAAACTTTGTCCCAATTAATGCGCCGGGGGATTAAAAAAATTGTGATTTTTAAAAATAATTTCATCGTTAATATCAAAGAGTTAATTAAGCAACGACGGGTAGGTGTTTCGTTTGGACCGTTTGGTGTTTTCAAAACGTTTTAAAAAATATATTAAAAAATGACCCAAATTCAATAAAGGACAAGGAAAAAAGATTGATTATAGTATTTTGAAACCAAACTCAAAGAACGTTACAAGAACAAACAAAGACAACACGACGAAGTTTTAATTTCTTCTTGATTGCTTCATATATAATAGTAATTAAATTTCTAATTGAGACTAGCCAGTTCGTGAATGTTGATAGGAAACGCAACCGTGCGGTCGCCAGCAAACGCTTTTTTGGCCATTATGAGATTAACTTTCTCCGTAGGATGAAAAGCGTCCCAAAACAGGTACTGGTCTCTGTTAGGACAAGGCGTCTCAAACGGAAGACAAGTGATCTGTCCTCTGTTCTTACCAATCCCACAACAACCCTTGTCCAAAGTAGTAAATCCTACAAAAACCAGCACACCATAATTATTATGATTATGCATCGATATTAATTAAGATTTGGTTTAGCTAATTAAGCTTAACGTTTGTTAATTAATTAATTACCGTAACTCACTGCGTTGGCGGTGATTTCTTCATACATATGAGCGATATCGAGGTAAATGAATTTAGCACCCGGGAGGTTCTGGTTGAGATTAGAGATCATTGTCTTAACATTTGTGTTGAAAGGAAGAACAAGTTGGTTCACTTCCTCCGAGCATTTACCGTCGGGTCCTTGAGCTAGAATGCTCGGAATGCATCCCATTCTTCCAAGTCCGGCCACTACAAATTTCCTACCTCCAAGATTATATAGTCTCTGCATGCATATCACCCCAAAAAAAAAAAAACAAAAAAAACAAAAAAAAAAACTCTTATTGATTAGATCTAAACTTTTTGCTTAATTAATTCTATTTAATTAAGATTAGTGAGAGTTGTTTTTTATCTTACGGTGAGCTGATTTGTGTATTGTTGAACCAAATGACCGCCGTATTGTTGAGCGTTGAATTGGTTACGGGTAGGGAAATTGGGCATCAAGTAATTGTTGAGATAGTCGTTGCTTCCCATTCCGATGAAGAACAAGCTTCGAGCCACCGAGTCTGCAATATTCACTGCACCACCGGACTTGCTAGCCACCTGATCCAACGTTGTCTCGAAGTTATGAATCTGCGTGTCGAACGGTATCCGCCCCACCTGACCACCGGAATAAGTAACGTTAACGTTACATGATTACTTAATTAATCCTCGCATAATCAGCCGGGCATGCATGCATAAAGTATTAGAAACACAAAGGATATATAAACTAAATTTAGTAGTAATGACTCTTGAGTACCATAAAGTATTAGAAACACAAAGGATATATAAACTAAATTTGGTGTTAGTAATGAGTACCATAAAGTATTAGAAACACAAAGGATACAATACTAATGGGTACTCAACGACTTTTTTATTTTGTTTTGCTAAAGGGACAGGTATCGAAATTGCACCACCATCCTATGAGAAAACTAAATCTATTTGAAAATCGTGTAGTATGTACTTGTTCTAAAATGTATGATCCATTAAACATTTTAAAATTAAAAAAAGGTGAAAAGGAAAGAATATATGTATAGGTTGATTATATCCAACTTACAAAATTTCCTCCGGTGTCAGGAAGAATCCCCGCGGCTGCGGAAGCGTAGTTGACACCACGAAGCACTTGATCTCCGGTAGCTTCGGAGTACGCCGGAATCAATGGCAGACCCAATAGTTGAGCTATATGATCAGTGCATGCATGCATCATATATGATATTTAATATGTCAGCCACATCCAAACATTTTTCATTTTTTACCATTTTAACTACAAATATTCATATACTTGTTATATATATGCAGACATGCACTTAAAACATACCTATCCCGTCGACCATGGTTAAGCCATTGCAGAACCGACCGGTCGGACCGCCATTGAAATCGATGCCATAAGGAAAATAGTTGGCTTTAGCGAAGGAAGGGATGTTATTGTTATTCCCATTGTCTATGAGAGAGTCACCAAAGATAAACATGGCCGGGACAATGCCGCCAACACCACCGTCTAGGTCAACCAATGGAGGTGGAGGAGCAGAAGTAGGTTCATCAATCACAACTAATTGGCCGGCGACGCCATGCAGAAGTTGGAGAACCACCGCGAGAATAGCTGGGAAGCAGCATAGTCGTCGGAAGTGGAAAGTCATTGTAAAGTTGTTTGAAATTGAGAGGTGTAAGTAAATTTTGTCGGATGAAGAAAAATAGAATTTGGCAGATTTATAGAGAGGGAGAGAGAGGTGTTTGGTGAAGAGTAGTAAATGTTCGTATCTGTCTTCTACCACTCAGTAATAACAGCCAATCACGATAATCACAATATGTGAGTTATGGTATATATACATGCATTATGTTTCTTTTTAATGCATTATGCATGTCTATATAATCATTTTACACTTACAGTATTTTTTTAAATATATACTAAACACATGACACATGTTTCGATGCATGGAAATGGAAGTGTTGAAGCTATGATCAAAAATATGTAATTAGGATAAAGATTTTGCAAGTTCAACCAAACAAAAAACTCGTTTTCAAACGATAATTTTGTTAAGCTCATTGTACACGAAACTTTGATAATTACCAGTTAACTGAAATTAAAAAGGCACGCAAACCGTAGACGCATTTTAATCACAAATTAAAACAAAACCAAGATAAACATTGCATTTATATCGTCGATATTCTCAATGGCGTTTAAGCTGTCAAAGTCAGACAATCGTGAGTTCGTGACGACCAATTATGTCGAAGAAGAGAGCAGAAAAAGCAACAGTTAAGTCTCTTCTAATTCAAAATGATGGTTAGGTCTTGGCATCTTGATCTATTCATTTTAGGGCTGACTTTTAATGTTATGACTTCTCAGATTGTGTGATAAAAGGACATGTTGGGACCCAATAAATGTCAGTCTTATATTTTTACCATAAATGGTCCAATCGTATGTTGGACACTTAAAAAGTTTCCGCATATGTAGATTTGCTTCAAATTTCATGACATTATCAGATTTGGAATCAAATCAAAGAAAATTTTCATTTTGTGTGTTGAGTTTCTATTTTCCCTAGACTGTCATTTGTCGACGTTAGACTTTACATTAAAACAGTTAACATAGAAGGTAGGAATCCTAAGTTGAACACAAATTAAAATAATCCATAAATTGAAAACATAGATAGAATTTGTAGAAAGAGTTTAAATACACACCACACTCGTACACACTTCATTGCTCACACCAGCAAATTTAAAAAACAAGACGAAGAAAAAATACAGATAGATTTTCAACTGCCTAGAAAAGGTCCACAGGCTTTATTATAATCGTGTGTGATCCACAACACTAATTATACTTACCAAGATTATTTGATTCGTAAGACATAGTCTTCAAATACCCTATGGTCTAGAACTCAAATATTTCACTTGGCATGGTTAGCGGATAAGAATAGTTAGTCTCCACAGTTGCAAAGTTACCATCTAATATGCTATTGTTCTCCTCTATCTGCATTCATTCACAACACAACAACAACAAAAATCATTAGGGGAAAGCTTCGGATTAATATGACTAAGTCAGGAGATGCATATTTGGATATAATTCTGCTGATAGATCTCCATTTTCATAAATGTGCTATGATGAGAATGTTATAGTGATTGTGTATATTACCTTTTCGAGGAGATACTTATTGGCATTTTTGAGGACTCCTTCCTTCATACAAAAAAACAGCGTCACACAATGTTAAATTTGACTTATTGTATTCGGCTTTTATAAACCAAAATCCTGGCTCACATATGTTGTTATAAGGAGCTGAATATCACAATGATGTTTATCTGCTTACCTTGTTCCTCAAGGACTGAATTTCTTGAAGCATAATCTCCATCTGCAAGTTTACATAATTTTTTATAATCAATATTTTATATTCACTATCAAGAACATATTCATTGTTTACATACAAGCACAGTAATGCATGTATACATATATATATATACCTTAGCAGAGCGAATCTGAGAAATCCAATACTCAAGATGTTTCTCAAGCAAGAGAAGTTCTTCAAGATTCATCGCCCCATCTCCTCCTCCAAACATATACCTTATCCCTTTCTGAAGCATCTCAATCTCTTGCTTAAGCACGTTGATCTCATCTTTCGGATCCTAGAAAATCAACTTGCGTTTCATTATGTTTATACTATTTGTAATAAATATTTTAAAGCGGATATGTGAAAATTTTGAAGGACGTTGAGATCCAATTAGTAATAAACTGATCATGTCCGTACGTATATACGTACATGTACTCAAGAATATGAAATACAGGTATGCATCAATAAGATAACACTAGTTCAGAGCGTGCCAATAACAATAGTTTAGGGCAACCTTTTTAAAGTGTTCAGGGAAACTTTTATCAAAAGGTTGTGCTGAATGAGTATAAACCAATAATACAACTTCGTTCCTAAAGATAAAAATATTTAAAAGTGACATATTAGTTGTCTTTAAAGCATCTTTTACTTTAACAGTAAGTAATTTGACTTATTTTGTTTTCAACTTTTTTCTTTAAATACAACGTTCCACAATATAGTCGACAAACTAGTACTACTATTTCTGATTTCTGAGATGGGAGAGCTAGGTTCATTGAATGTGTACTTCATTAACTATTAATTTCATGTAGAATCGGAATCAGGTGCCCTACCTAACTTCCTGACTAATTTAATTTCAAATCAATTAACAACGTCCAACAGAGTTTCTCTCTGCATGTCAACACGTGTTACCATTTGCATACTAAAATGAATATTTTGTGGGAAAAACAAATAAACTATTCTCAAAATGGCTCTAACTAGCAAGAAAGAGTTGATTAACATGTCAAAACATACCCTAGAAATTGAGCATCAACTAAACTTAATCGAACTTAAAATATCATTAAAACCAACACATTCAACCAGATCAATCCCAAAAGGTAAGAACAAGAACCGATAACAGAAAATAATAATTAATGAAAACGAAAGAGAAAATAGACATACAAGATTAGGGGGTTGAAGTTGTTCTTGAGCAGTAAAAGTAGCAGAAGAAGAACCACGACCACCACCAGTACACTTCTTGTACTTATCAATCATTCCCTCCATTGTTCTGTTTTTTATACATCAATTTCCCATTTATATACATCCATATAAGTTACTATTTAATTACATATAAACAAAAATACAAATATATATGTAGAGAATGAGATGTATAATAATTAAATACCCTTTAGTAGCGAGCTCAAAGAGCTTGCCCTGAGGAGAGAAAATCACAACACCGATCTCAGCGTCGCAGAGCACAGAGAGTTCCTTAGCCTTCTTGAGAAGACCGGTTCTCCTCTTGCAAAACGTCACTTGTCTGTGAACCGGGTTCTCGATCCTCTTCAACTGAATCTTTCCACGAGCCATCTCTATCTGATGATTTAACGTTTTGATTTGTGTTTAAATTCGGATTTGGATTTGAATTTAGAACGTGAATCAACCTCCCACTAGTTTGAACTAGCTTCGAGGTTACCCACTTACTCTTTGGTTTCTCTTTTTTCTTGGGAGAAAACTGTGAAGTTATGACCAAACTCATGCCACACCTTCTTCTCTTTATATATAATCTCCATTATCAGATTCTCCCACTCACTTCTCTGCTTCTTAAAGCACCTTTTTCTTCCACATAAGCCTCATTTTCTCGTATATATATAATGTATGTTGCTCTATATGTGATATGTTTAAGAATGCATTCACACAAAGTATATAGCTTTACATGCGAAAGCTCTGTCTAAAGCATTGTCTGTTATTTTATGGGGTTGTATTGTACTACAGCCCTCCCTTCCTAGGTTATATTTGATTGACTGATCTTACATCCGATGTGACATGTGACCTGACATGCACTAGCTACTAGCTAGCTAGCTAGGTGTTCTAAGTTCCGAATTTTGTGAGAAATTTAATAAATGATCACATTTAAATCCAAATATTTTTTCTATTTCTATTTTAGTGGGATATATTTTGATGTGGTGTAGAAGTCATTTGGGAGAAATGAAGAAAGAAAATTAACAACTTGTGACTTGTGAAATAGCAACGAAAAACAAATTGTGGATGGTTTGCGCTCACCAAAACTGTTTTTTTTTTACTTACAGAAGATAGGTTGAATTTAATCAAGTGTGCACTGCCTAATATTGTGACATAAAGGACTATACCAAAGTAAAATTTTAGATTTTAAAAACCAAATGAATAATGCTTTATTTTTTTTTACTAAAGTTTTAATTTTATGTGTAATTTATGTAGGGTAAAGAAATGTTTTCATAAAAGAATTTCTGCTACTTTTGGAATTTTAATACGAGTAATGAATAGATTGACCCATACATTTTGTTTCTTACAGTATTCGATCAGTTATATTTATATGTTTCTCACATTTATAGTCGTGGAATTCTTAACCCATTTTAATTAACCACTAAAGAACAATTAAGTGATGGTCATTAAGCATAATTAGCCAATATTTAAAGAGGGGATCATGTGGAGCTCCTCGTGGTGGAGAACCAATGACCTGTCCATGTTAGGTTCCAATGTAGCTTTTTATGTTATGTGTATTTATTTTCTTGATTTATTGGTATTTTTTTTTAAATTGTCTAAGTTATTTGTCATTACCTTTCTAAATGTTGTATGGCCATCTTGCTTTGCCCTTGGTCTACGTGACAAACTCCTGAATCTTATTCTTCTTCAACAGTACGCAGTTTTGAATTCACTTTTTTCTTGGAATATGGAATTATTTTTCGTATATATGAATAGCAAATGCACCAACACAAAAGCTTGCAAGTAACGTTCCAAACCGATTCATAAACATTACTCTTCTATATATATAAGAGTGGAGATACTAAAATAAACACAGTGAAGCAGCATACACGTTTAATATTCGTAAGATTGCTCCATGAAGAAAAAAATTTGCCATGAGAAGTTTATTACTTTGTAGCTCCATGCATGCAGAAGAAAATTTGTGGTCCATTAACTAATGAAATTTCAAAAAGTTAATTAAGAATTTTTTGAACACTCTATATACATTTGTAGCTAGTATCAAGTATATCAACCCCACGGCTTAGACTCAGGATCAACAAATGTCTAGCACACTACTATTTTTTTCACGCATGTTTATTTTTTCCAGCGTGGATTATACCATCAAATTTAAATCCACCAAGAAGAAAGCAGGGTTTAATTAATGTGGAATGCAAAGCTAAATGCCCTAAGCAACTTAAATCGTTTATTTATATTAAGCTAAGACCTAAGAGTGTATTCCCCTGTGATTAATTTAACTCATCTATATAGAATCCATAACTAAGAATATGATAATTTAGTGGTGATGCGTGAACATATTTTTATTCAGTCAAGGTTAATATCCTTTTTTTTTTTGACAACAATCAAGGTTAATATCCAGAATATATATTATTAGAATGGGGCTCCTCTAGAAATGGTGTTTTCATTTGCCATTACAACATTAAATGGTGCGCAAGCAAATTTTTAAATAGATTGATATCTAGTTTTAAAAAAAGAATTATGAAAAAACTAGTTAAAATATTAGTTCATAATTTCAAATTCCCAAAATAGAAACTCTTATTATTTTAAGGAGATAATTGTATCATTTTTATAATTTTTAAGCAAGATGAAGAGAGGGGACGTGTCTCTCTATGAGGAGGGAATGGATGGATGGATCAGATTTAAGCAAGAAGGAAGTAAATTAAAGAATCTTTGTCAAATCAAAATACATCAAACATGCAAAAAACCAAAAAGTGTGTGATCGATCTGTTGCTATTCTTTTGCCTCGCATCTTTGCTCTCATTGGCTCTCAAGATCGTATCTATGATTGACACATGGTTCATTTTTCTTGTCTTCTTGGGGCATAAAGCTTCTTTTGATTCTCCACTCCCTAACATTTATTTGATCTAATTGTATTTTATATTTCATGTAGCATGCTTTTAATTTAACTATGAACTTATATGTGCACAATACGATCAGAGAAAGTGGGCTTCTTGAGATAACTTTAATATATGAATTAGTTAATATATGATGGGATAATCTAAGTTGTTTATTAGACATTCGAACCAATTATTTCTTCGAATATATGGATCTTAGAATAAGAAACCAATTTCATATGAAAATCTAAACTAATTCTTACTCCTGCAACTACCATAATACGAAACCTAGTATTAACTATATCAGGTTTAGACCAGCATATATAAATCAATGACTCTCTAACATTTTTTTTAAAATGTGTTTATGACGCGAAGGTTGGCATGAATGTTTGTTAGACGCTCGAACGGAATCAATACACACCTGAGTCAATGATATCGTAATTTAATCGGAAACTACATATGCATGCATTACCAGTCATTAACTCATTATATATGTTACTGGTGTCTGTGACTGTGAGGGATAATAATTAAAACCATAAACGAAAAGAAAGGAAGAGAAAATACAGCTTAGATATTATAAATATCTAAATCTACAAGAAGCACTAAACTTATGTTCCCATCTACATTGAATCTTTAAAAGAAAGGAGTAGATGCCTTAGGATAATTAAGGTTGCCCTTTATACTATTATGCACTATTTCTTGAAATAAATATATTTTGCTGGAATCATTGTAGTATTTATTTTGTAGATGATGACAATGCTATTGTTGCAATTTAAGAGTTATACCAATATATGACATTTATAAATTGGAGTGACAAAAGATTCTAATCACATCACAACTATCAAAGATTGTTAACATAAATTGAAAATGGATGATCATAGGGGTGTTCAATCTTGGTTTTGGTTTATTTGTAGTTCGGATTATTTGTTTTTGTTTTATTTTTCAGAAAAAGTTACCAACTTAAAACTAAAAATAATCTACCATGGTTCAGTTTGGTACACTTTCCATTTCGGATTGAATCCATATTTTAATAATAAAAAAAAATCAAAGAAAATTAAGCTACAGATTTTTTTTCAGTTCGGTAAGTATTACCGTTTATCAGTACTAAGATTTAATTCGATTTTGGCATCAATATCTACATCTAATTAAGAAAATGACTACGTTGTTCACAAACTTTTATATGTCTCCAATAAACATGCCTGGGTCAAAAGTATGCACAAAGATTAAAGACAACGCCCAAAGTTTTATTCTTGATAAGAGAATTTTGACCATAAGCGATCTTGGTCAGCCATTGAAGTTTCATATAATGTTACTAATGTTTTCATTCAGGAATAAAAAAGATTGAGAATTAAATTATCGTTATAGATTTTCTTTATAATATCTTTGAAGAATGGATTTCGAAAACAAAGCTTGTAAACCACCAGCCTTCAATAGCTACTTACGTATAGCTTGTACATTAAGAACCATCTCCATTGCGTTTCAAAGATTACAAAGAAAATAAAGAGCAGACGGTACATGGAACGACTATAAATCATATGCAATCTCTATTCAGAGAAAAGTTTATCAATATGAATTATATTTTTCTCTAAAAACGATGTTAACTATCATGATATGATCAATATGAAATATAATAATTCTCTGAAAATAACTTTTCTCCAAAAGTAAAGAATAACTCTAAAGTATTGATAGATAGTTTTCTTAATGTTAAAATAATTTTGGGTAATGATGCGAAATGCAATGCAGTGGAGCATCCAGCCATCCACAATATGGTTTCACGGCTTATAGAATAATCCGTACACCAAGTTGATATTTAACAAACTCCGAGTTGATTTAGTTAAATGAGATATATTGCACGCTTTAACAAAAAAAATTACGTTGTTGTACTATTTTATTTAACAGTGTGTTTTATGATTCTACCACCACATATTTGGGGACATATGCCGTATTTGGGAAAAACTATAATTCAAAAAACAATTATTTCTATTTTCCCACGAAAGTCACGAGTCACGACACTTCTATATTTTGTCACCTATCACTAACTACATTTACTTTGTACAGTTAAATTTGGAGATCAATCTAAACAATTACCCCCCATATATAACGACGTAATTCTATTATCACATGTTGGAAATATGTTTTAGATATGCTAACATGGCCATGCGGGGGTTTGTGAAGAAAAATGAGTGTTTGATGTAACATGAATTTGATATTTTCAGGTAATCCTAACTAGAGAACAAGAGCTTGTGGGCTTAGTTGGATTAAAAGACGCACACAATTAACTAAAACGAAGACTTAAAAACTAGGAGTGGTTTTCAGCTCGATTGTGTGAGTGTGTGTGTGTTTTCTTTTTCTTTTAACCCAAATTTATTCTTGTTGTTTTATTAAAAATTATTAAAAGGTCAATTTCAGAATCTTACAAAGAGATGTCCAAATTAAGTATGAATCACACGTGTCACCTTCCGCCTGAATCAGTCTCATAGTAATACTATAATAGCCCAGGCGCTGTCCCTCATATCG